AGGACGCTTAAATCCCCTCTAAATTCCACTTGGGGCTCCCAAAGGACAGGGGTGTGATCCTTTCCTGGATGTGCCAGAATTAAGTTGGAATCTAGATTCCTGGGGTCAAGGATAGGAAAGGATTAGAGATCACAGAAAGTTGCACAAGCTGCAGCTTCAGCCACAATGAAATTGCTCCCTGCTGTGTTGAGATTTTAGGGTTGTTAAATATTGTTTTGTTGTGTCACACTGAAATCTGCACCTCATCTTTGTTTGTTGAGGGTACTGAGGTTTCTATGCCCAAAATGGCTACCCCCTTTGATCGGAATGGTTTTGGCAGCACCATAACCGCCTCTATTATGTGTTATACACTAATCCGTTCCAGTTCTTTACACACGCTGAGAGATTTTTGATGGGATTCACACCAAGTCCCACAACATTTAGTATTATTTCCCATATATTTGATTATTGTGCCTATGAATTTTGCCACTGAGAGGGTGGCACGATCATTGGCATCTGATAGTAGCCACAACACCACAACACCTGGGCTCGCACATTTAGCAGTTCCGTATCTTTAAGTAAAGGGGCGACTAAATTAGCCCTCAACTCATCGAATATAGGGCACTCCATAATAATATGTTCAATGGTTTCAATGGTATGATATGAGCATCTGCATGTTCTATTAGAGTTACTTTATTATATCTGCCCTCCAAAACTGTCGAGAGAAGAACGTTCAGTCTTGCCAAAGTAAAAGCTCTTCTTAGTTTTGGGACTCTGAAACAATCTTTAAAAATCAAGATTGCCCCTGCTGTAGTGCATTGTCGGTGGCTTTCAAAAGAAATAATTAAATACGGCCACCATTTCTGTCAGCGAGGTCACTGACGATTCCTCAACCCAACTGGACTAACCCCCTTAATTCTTTTGGATAGCTACTGCTCAGGTTGGGTAGATGCGATTGAGGATAAATTACAACTTTACGGATTTTCTCCCTTAGCAATATGCCATCTGGGGTTCTCGGGAGCTAAAGAAATGCTTAAACAATTAATCTGGGATGCAGCTCTTCAAGCTAATCAAGCTCAGGCAAATCTCTGTCCGGTGGGAGGGAATCATAGCCAAAATTTCACACTGGCGAACTATCTGTACGTGAATTCCCCGAATACTGCAGAGCTTTCACCTTGACCCCCTTTAATCACCTGCCCTCAGTGCTACTGGAAGGGAGATATCTACACATTCCCTACTCTCAACGTCTGTGTTCCTGCCAACCGAACGCAGCAGCGGAAACAGCGGACCATGTGTTATTATGCTGCCTGTTTTATAAGGACATTTGTTCCGCATACCTCCCCTGTTCTATCCAAGTTCCCAGGAAGATCGGATAATCTCGGGACATATCTTCAAATGTCCCCGAAGAGCTTTACACTCTGCTGGAAATACTCTACCAGTGATCCCTAGCCCTCAGCCAGGGGTCCTGGCTCCTACCTGGTGGAAGTCTCTGCCAAATATCATTCGTGCCCTGCAGGACCTTACGCAGTTCCGCAGGGCATATAAGGCAGAGATGTTCTGCCAGGTATTTTGGTTGAGGACAGCAATGGGTACCATCTTATCAGACACGCCCCCCCCACCTTGCTTTCTCCTGCTTGCAGGACAGTAATACATATTGCATCTACTGTGACGCCACTTGATGTTCTTTTAACTTTAACTTAACTGTTTTATTTTTGGTTTTATATTGTATTTTTCCCCCTATATTGTATTTTTGTTGATAACCCCCCCCCCTGAGCCCTGTGAACTCAGGGAACGGTGGTATATAATCTGAAATTATAAATTAATAAATAAATAAGTTCTGTACACATCTCCTCCTTGCAGACCAATCTAATGAGACTGCCTCTAAAGTGGCCAGATTCTATGCTGAGGCTGTGTCCATAAAACAGCAGATATTCCAAACCTTTTAATAACTTTTATGTATAATTAATTACACCTATCAGGCCATGAATTTTAATCTCGGCATAGTAATCTTACGTTTGTATACAAATTGTGCTGGTAAACTGCTATTGGTTGATCTTTCGGTTGAATTAAATGTAAAAAACAAAAAACAAATTCCTCATCCCCACCTAGCAATACCCCCACATTTCATGGTTTTTAAAAACATGATTTAAGTCCCCTAAGGGTTATGCTGTCTCTTCTGTTCGGCATAACAGTGTACATCTCCCCTGATTTTGTTTAAAACGGGAGGAGGGCAGGAACTGGGTTGGGAGCAGGAAGAAAGCAGCACGTTCTCACTTCACACCAGTTTGATTAATGAGTCTCGACTAATTGTGCGAGAAAGATGCCAGACCTTTACCATGCAGGTTCGGGGTGATTGTTGAGCCAATCACAGCCAGCATGTGAAAATAGGAGATGTTTAGTGTTCAAGCGTCGGAGCCAACAGAAGGCCATTTGGAGCAAGGCACAGAGAAACACCCACTTCTTTGAAAAGACGTTACTATGCTCTGCTAAACCTGTAAGCCTCTGACTGAAAATGTTTCCCCCCCCCCCCGCCCTTTCTTGTCTCTCCTGGTTTTCAGACAGATCTTATCCCCTCTCCATCTCCCCAAGCAAAGGCAAGGCACATTGGCTAGCATGCAGATGGATGGATTTCACATTTCAGGGTTTTTAATATTTCACTTTTATATTGATTTCGCAGAGAATGGTCCTGCTGAGAGGCTGAGAAATGGTGCCTGTCGTTCCCTCCACCCCGCCCACTCTGACACTTGGGTATATGATTGAAAGGTATCCCATGAGAAAATATTAAACAAAGGGGGAGGGAAGGAAAGGGGGAAAGAAAGCCTGCTTTTCAGAGGATACTTCTCAATCTGCCCACCACATCAAAATAAGACACAACTGTCCCTTTGAAGTTCAGGACACAGAAAATTTTCCCCCTTTCTCAAGGGGGGGGGGGGGGGAACTGGCTTGATAAATCACATGCGTGGCCGTGCATTCACACAATACCTGCCCAGAGTGTTTTTGCCTTGCCCACATGACAATCGGTCGCAGAAAGTTTTCAGGGACCTTACAACTTCTCTCCAGAAACACATGAAATAAAATGTACACCCGTCACAGAATTTCTGGATAAAAGAAGATACACTGGACCTATATACAGTCTCAAGGCTTGCTATGTCTGTGGCAACAAAGACAATCTAGTACAAATCAAAAGATAAGGTTGGTACAAGGATACAGCAACTAGCAGATAGCGTCCTTTGAAGCCCAGGGCAGTCGTATCCAACTAAAACTTTGAGATCTGTGACATGAATTAGGGTTGCCAGGCCGTGCCTAACGGCCACTGGGAGCTTCAGAGGTGGGGACTTGTGACATGATATCACTTCCGAGAGAAAATTGGAAGCAATGTCCTGTAGCTCTAGGAATTGCCAGAAACTCTATGGCAAAATCATAGAGTTCCTGGCGAATCCTGAAGGGATGTGACATCACCTCTGGGTTTTCCCCAGAAGTGATGTCATGCTGTGCGCAGTGTCAGTGTTTTAAAATAAATTAACCCTCTGCTGCTTGGAGCAGAAGCGGACAATGACAGTTGCCAATGGGGCCTCTTCCACCACAGCAGGAGACCTTGCAGCCTTAATGATATCCACCTGTTGCCTCTTGACAGTACGTAGCCCTTGCAGAATAGAGGCAGTCTGCCAGGGGTGACACCTCTGGCTTGGGAAGTTCCTGGAGGTTTAGGGGCACTGCCTGGGGAACCTGAGGAAGGGACAGAGCTAAGCAGAGATGTGATGCCATGGAATCTGTCCTCTGGAACTGCCATGTCCTCCAGGGGGACTTATTTTTAAACCATGGGATCAGTTGGGATTCTAGGGGATGATAACCCTACTTTGGTGCATGTACAGAGCCTAGCAAAACAGCCGCGTAATCTGTGGAAGGGCAGGCAATGCCCCCAGATTGCCCATGTGTACCCCTGACCAGTGCTCCCTCTAAGCTGTGGAGTCTTGTGAGCAAAACTTCTACTTTGTGAGCTACTGGCATTAAAGTTGTGAGCGAGTGGTTTGGCTGCTGCATAAATTAGTCTGCTCTGGAGCCCTCCTTCCTGAGCTAAGACAAAAATGTGAGAGCGGGAAGCTAAAAAACTGTGAGCTAGCTCACACTAACTCAGCTTAGAGGGAACACTGCCCCTGACCTCCCTGCCTTGTGCAGTCTCACCCTGCCACTGTGTGTGGCGTGTGGCAATTGAACCGAAGGCTTGCCTTTTCCGAAAGGAAACAGGAGAGACAGAAGCTGCTGGAGGGATGGACTTTGGAAAAAAGGCCTCTAGTGGGAGGGCTGTGGCAGGAAGGAAGCTGAACAGGCAGTCGAGCAAGAAGCAGGAACTTGAGGAACCAGGGTTGCCGGCCTCCCTGTGGGAGGAGGGAAAAAATGGCTGTCGGACAGGCCCGTAGGCAGGATTTTTTTTTGTTTGGTGGGGGCATTTAAATGTTTAAGGGGGGAAGTTAAATTAAAGTTAATTAAATTAATCTGAATGGCTGTCTTTAAAATAAGAGAGTCTGAGCCCATTTCTAGCCCTTCCTTTCAAGGGACATGGCAGCAAGCATGTCAGTTCATAGGAAAAAACAGTTCAGAGGGCATTTAATTGCCTTCAGAAGACAATTTCAGTGCCTTTTGAGTTCCCTTCCACAGGGCAAGAAAGCTTAGAAAGGCACCTCCGATACATCTCCAACAATCACCCTCTCGGCCAGCTCAGTACCACCTAGGTCATGGTCAAAAATAAGGTTTCTGGCGTGGTTATTTGTGGGGCGGGGCTTTTACTTAAGGGGGCAGGGCCCCGAAATGCCCCACTGTAGCTACAGGCCTGCTGTCAGGCTAAAGGCGTGACATCCCTTCTGGGGAAAACCAGGATAGAACTGCTTTCAGAGGGGAACCCAAGAGCTCTTTAAGTGTTGTTAACTTTAGGAAGAAATGATGGATTTACTAATGGGAAAAGCAGTTTCAATTAGTATTCCTATACTGTCTGCATTTTGAAGTTGCAGCCAGTCCACTCGTACCTGGCCGGTAGTGGTAAAGCTTCGAAACTCCAGGCCAAGTTTCCTCCGTTGGGACTCCCAGTATCTGTACAGAGCCAAGAGAGAGAGAGAGAGAAAAAAAATCAATGCTGCTTCTAAAAACATGCATGCACATTCTATTCTGGTCCTGATTTACTTCTGGAGAGACACTCTGAATGCTTTTCATATCAAGGTAGCTGGGAATAGACACCTACTCGACGGGCGGCTCTGACGGGTGCCACTTCCAATAGATCTGTAGCAGCCCAAACCATCCCACACTCTTATTTACAGCTAAGGTGCTCCCCTCGAGACCAGGATTGCAATGATGAGTGATTCTCTGCGGCAGCAACTCCCCCCCGCCCACCCCAACGATAGGCATTCTGAAACCGTGCGCTGCTGTGGCTGTGATCCAAGCCCCCGCTGTTAGGAGATGAAAAGGAATAGATAGTAAACGGATCTTCTGACAGGTGTTCAAAAAACAATCCAGGACACAATTCAAAGCCGTCCTGAGCCTCGGCAATGCAGCACCACGAGATGAGGCGGTCTGAGTCCACCACGGGATTCTGCCCTCAAGCAAACAAATGCTTGCCGGTGAAGATGAAATACCCCAAAGCAAGATTTATTTATTTTTTGCCACTCGGCTGAATGCAAAATACTCTCCTCTTTGGCCCAGGAACGGCAGCTCTTATATAACTCGGCAAACTCTCACCGCAGCCCTGTGGATCTGAACCGACTCTAACAGCAGCAGAGGACAGGACTCACCATAATGGGTTTAAATTAAGGGCAGGAAGGTACCAGCTGGACATTAGGAAAAACCTTTTTACAGTAAGAGTTGTGCAACAGTGGAATCAGCTGCCTGGGGAGGTGGTGAGTGGCTGGACAGACACGTGTCAGGGATGCTCTAGGCTGATCTTGCACTGAGCAGGGGGGGCTGGACGAGATGGCCTGTGTGGCCCCTCCCAGACCGAAGCAGATCGACTGATCAGCGCAGCGCAGAAGAGAACTGGCGGGATGCTGGAGCCTTGCCCTCTGAGCATGCGTGGTGGGGGTTCCTGCGCATGCTTGGGGAGAGGCTCCAGATCCTTCCGAGCTTGTTAGAAGTTTCCTGAACTGGAGCCGGGGCAGGTGCCTTAACCCACAGGTGTGATGCACAGAGACCACGACGAAGATTAATGGGTTTAAATTAAGGGCGGGAAGGTAGCAGCTGAATATTCGGAAAAACATTTTGACAGTCCGAGTTGTGCCACAGTGGGATCGGCTGCCTAGGGGGGTGGTGAGCTCCCCCTCCCTGGCAGCCTTGAAGCAGCGGCTGGACAGACACTTGCCAGGGATGCTCTAGGCTGATCCTGCACTGAGCAGGGGGGTTGGACTGGATGGCCTGTAGGGCCCCTTCCGTGATTCTATGATCTCCCGGAATTACAACTGACTGTCAGACTACAGAGATCAGTCCCCGGGGCTGCTTAGGAGGGTGGATTCTACAGTATCACCCCCCACTTTGGTCCCTCCCCTCCCCAGAACCCACCTTCCCTAGACTCCACCCCCAAACCTCCAGAAATTTCTCGATCTGGAGTTGGCAGCCCTAGCTGACTCAAATGGGATTCAAGAGAGACAAGACCTTGTATTCAGTACATGTAAAAATCACAGTTGACTTACATGGAATGGATCTGGGAATGATCTAGGAGTCTAAATCATCCCCACACGCATCAACCATGCAAGTCAACCGTTTGGAATGGATTAGGGAAGTATATTTCACGCTGCATGCCATATACTAAATAGCTCCTATGATGTATATTCAGAAATATCCTCAGCCACAAAGCTCACTGAATGATCTTGGGCCAGTCACTCTCTTTTTCTTAGCCTAACCTACCCACCTCACAGGGTCGTTGTGAGGATAAAGAAAAGGGGGAAAGTACCCAGCTCTCCCTGGCGGAAAAGGTGGGACAGAAATGGAACGGATAGTAGATAAGCAATATGAAACTTTAAGGAAGGATTCAGGCAAAATTATACAGTGGGGTATTACGAATCACCCACATCACGGGTAGTTTGGACCTCAACGTTTTGAGAAACAGGGATCCAGTTTTCAACCGGGGGGGGGCTTTTTAGTGCATCACAACCTGCTGGATTATGTTATCTTTTCCACAAGTGCTTAAATGATTGTAATTTTATTTACAGATCTTTGATCAACGTTTCTTAATGTGCTGCAGCATACTGGATGTGTGTTGAGAAAGGAATAAATACATTGAAAAATAGAAGGTATAAATATGGGCCATTTACAGACCCAGTACTAATAACACTTTGATTTGACAGCTGACGAGAATAAGGACGTTTCTTGGGATTGTTCTCAAGGAAGCATACAGAGATCAGCAATGCTGAGCAATATTAGTTGCCCTTCAAGGGAGGCCACGATTCCACCCTATGTGGAGCAACAAGACTTGAAACTTCTCCATCCCTACTTCGACTTGCTGTCAATCTAACTGGTTTTAAATTTTGGATGAGACAAGACAGACATCAAAGCAAAGTCCTTTTGATTGATCTTGGTGTTTAAAGGAAAGTTGCCAAATATAGATCAGCTTGTTGGATAAAACCTCAAACCTAAGACATTGGGTTGGAGGATTTCAAGCAAACAATTTTTCTGCTGAATCCAGCCTCCATCATCACAAATTACTAAAAAAAGTGTGTGTGGGGGAGCTGACCCTTTAAGATGCAAATGTTTTTTAATTTCATGCTCAAGACACATCATTATACTCACCTCCCAGATCTCCTCCAGCTGTTCAAAGGTGTTGCGAACCCCTGGAAACAGGGGCTGACCCTGGAGCATCTCGACGAATATGCAGCCTGCACCCCTGGAGGGGGGAAAGGGGACATTCTCTTTATTCGCTCATTCATGCAATACAGCTATTATATACAGAACGACACATACAATACATGCAGATCAAGTATAAAAGAAAAAGACATACATATTTTCAATTGGAAACAACAGTGTGCATGAAAACGTCAAAAGATGGAATGTGACAAGTGCCCACTTTGTTACAAGCATCTCACATGTTTATGGCACCACTGGTGGTCACCTGAATTCCTGCCCTTGGTTCTGGCAGGCAAGGGCTGTCAAAGTTGCAGGAAACTTATTGTGACCTTTTAGGTTTTCAAGGCAAGAGGCTTTCAAGAGGTGGTTGGCCATTGCCTACCTCTGCGTAGCAACCTTGGACTTCCTTGGAGGAGGAGATTGGATTTATACCCTGCCCTTCACTCAGAGTGGCTTACAAATGCCTTTCCCTTCCCCTCCCCACAACAGACACCCTATGAGGTGGGTGGGGCTGAGAGAGCTCTTGACAGAAACTGCCCTTTTTCAAGAACAGCTCTTATCAGAACTATGGCTTGCCCAAGGTCATCCAGCCAGGTGCAAGTGGAGGAGTGGGGAATCAAACCCGGTCCTCCCAGATTAGAGTCCGCGCACTTAACCACTACACCAAACTTGGTGGTCTCCCATATCCAAGTCCTAACCAGGGCTGACCCTGCTTAGCTTCCAAGATCTGACAAGATCAGGGTAGCCTGGGGCATCCAGCAACGCTCCCTCCAAGCTGTGGAGTCTTGTGAGCAAAGATTGTACTTTGTGAGCTACTGGCATGAAAGGTGTGAGTGAGTGATTTGGCCACTGCATAAGCTGGTTTGCTCTAGAGCCATCCCTTCCTGAGCTGAGACAAGAAGTGTGTGAGCCGGAGGCTAAAAAACTGTGAGCTAGCTCACGCTAACGCAGCTTAGAGGGAACACTGGCATCCAGCTCAGGGCAGAGAGGAGCAGAGGTGGTGTGCCGTTGCCTACCTCTGTGCAGCGACCCTGGGCTTCCCAGGTGGTCTCCCATCCAAATCCTAACCAGGGCAGACCCTGCTTAGCGGCTTCTGAGATCCGACAAGAGGGGGTCGCCTGGGCCATCGAGGTCAGGGCTCCAGCCCTTAGGGGTTGTATAAGAAACGCAGGCAATGTCTGCAAAGGGGCTGCTGCCCCACAGCGCCCTCCTGTGCCACCGTGGTCCTTGTGAGATGGCCAGGAGGGAGAAGCCCTTTCCACTGCTCACCCTGCCGACACCGCTGCTAGCTGAAGTTGGCTCTCACCAGATATCCACCTCAGAAGAATACTCCGTGGCTCCCAGCAGCACCTCGGGAGGCCGATATCCCAGCGTCACCACCTCAGCAGAGTAGGTCTGACTGGGAATGGACTTGGCGCGAGCAAGACCTGCCAGAGGAGGGAAGGAAAACCTGTCACCTGTAAACCGCAAGTGACACGTTCATTCTATGTCCCTTCCTGTAGCCTTCATCTATTTGTTTCTTTAAACCATTTTTAATGCTGGCTTTCCACCCAATCAGGGTCCCCAAGGAGACGAACACAAAAACACTTAAAACAATTAAAAACAGCATTTCAAATGATAACATAGTTCAACAAAGGTACACGAACGAGCAAAACCAGAACGAGGGAGGAGGGGCCAGTAACTGTTATATTGGGGGTATGTCAAAGGAAACAAAAAAGTCTTCACCTGCTGGTGGAAGGCCCCGATTGAGGGAGACAGACAAATCTCCCCGGGGGAGGAGTTCTAAGGTGCCACCACCGAGAAAGCCCTTTCTTGGTTGCCACCCATCTAGCCTCAGATGGCGGGGGCAATCGAAGCAGGGCCCCCGAAGCTGACTGGGGGGTATGGGTAGGTTCATACGGGAGAAGGTTGTACATTTTACACCAAGTGGCCTTTGAGATATGTTGGTCCCAGGCCACAGATGCTGGAAGTGAAGGACTGGACGCTGTCACCTGCCTCAGTCTCCAGACTGCGCACGGCAAGAGAATCAGACAGCTAGATAGTCAGACTCAGCTTTCTTCCTGTGTTTACTCTTCTGCCACTGTCCCTTTGATATGTCGAATGCCAGGGAAATTGCCTCTCTTCCTTCCGTTCCCTCTCTAACACACTTTCCCTTGCACACACCAAGAGGGAGGGGGACACGCTGTCCCCATCTTGGCACCAGTGTTCCTTCTAAGCTGAGTTACTGTGAGCTAGCTCACCGTTTTTTAGCCTCCAACTCACACATTTTTGTCTCGGCTCAGGAAGGAGGGCTACAGAGCAAAGTAATTTATGCAGCAGCCAAATCGCTCACCCACAACTTTAATGCCAGTAGCTCACAAAGTAGAGTCATTGCTCACAGGACTCCACAGCTTAGAGGGAGCATTGCTTGGCACCACGAAGCGGATGGCCCTCTCACCATCTGCATCCACCCATAGTTATTTAATTATTTATTTATTTGATTCCATTTGTATCCTGCCCTTCCCGCTGAAGCGGGCTCAGGGCGGCTTACATTAAAAGTTAAAACACAATAAAACACAAATTCATTGCATACAAAACACATAATAAAATTCATATACATTACAACTAACAAGTCACAAATAAATACAGTTAAAGCTGTTCAAATCTATCATACACACAGCCTAAAATTTTTCCTTTACTTTTGTTTGTTTGACACTCAGTTCCAACTAGGGTTGCCAAGTGTATCTTCGCCGGGAGCGGGGGGCTCCCGGCTGGCGTCTTGTGCGCGAGTTTTCCCTTGTATGGCCGTGGCCCCACCCCCAGTGTGCCCGGCGGGCCCACGTCACTTCCTGGTGATGCGCCCACCGGGGTGGGGTCCCCCCCCGGGGCCTGATTCCGTGGCGGCGGAAATTGGTCCTCCAAAGCGGGGGTTTACCCGCCACCCGCCCCCACTTGGCAGCCCTAGTTCCAACATTAACAGGATTCACTGAGTCGGTCTTTCAGGCTAAGGACATATATACTGCCCTCTTTGAGATCTCACACAGAACTATAATAACCCTTACTAACTGAACACCAACTGAACAATTCCAACTGACTTTCATAACGAACATTTCATAACTGACACTCACACAGATCCACTTTAAAAATTCTTCCCACACTCTCTCATCCTCCAATCACAGCACCCTTGTCTCTCTCAATCACTCTACTCTGCATTCACTGCACTGCAACCAAACATTTAAAGAGACACACACACTCTTCAAACAAGGAATCGTTACAGGCGGTAACTATAGGCCATGATCCTATCTCTACATATTCCTATCTAGAATGTAATTCCTAAATAGACTCTTATTAGTCTGATAAGTAACTTTGTGTAACTTTGTAACTAAACTAGGATACCTGGTGCAAAGACGCTCCTACGTGTGTAGCTTAAAGCACTCTGCGAAACTAGTCAGTGGTAACCGGACTAACTATACCAGTCAACCCAACAGTACAGGGTTTATATACCAAGTCAATACCAGGACCTTGGATGGAGCCCAGAAGCAAACTGGAAGCCAGTGCAGGTGGAACAAGACCGGAGTGATATGGTCCATCCCACCCAATCCAGCCCACACTCTGGCTGCAGCGTTCTGTACTGACTGTAGCTTCTGGACGGCCTCCCAGGACAGCCCCACATAGAGCGCCAGTGAATGATATGGATGGTTCTGCCTCTCTTGGCCACTGGTGACCCTGAACCTTCAGTGACGAACTTTCACCGTTCTTTTGCACCTTTCCTGTGGTGAATGCAGATGTCATTTCATTACCATTTCTAATCCAGACAGCTGCTTAGTGCCTTCATTGACAGCCAAGATGGTGCACCAGTTAGATCAGGGGTGTCGAACTCATTTGTTACGAGGGCCAGATCTGACATAAACGAGACTTTGTTGGGCCGGGGCCATGGGTGTCATCAAATGTAATGCCAGGTAGCGGAGATATAAACTTTATAAAGGACACAGACACAAAGGGGTTGTTTTTTTAACTTAAAATAAAAACATGCTTAAAACACTAGCACTCTTGCAATATTTTGTTTATTTAACAGTGTCTGATAACTGACACCTCTTGCTCTGAATTATTGCATCAAAATGTCTGTGCTGTTGCAGTCTTGACTCTGCTGTTCAGGTGTGTATCTGTAAGTTGCAAACCTACAATGATGATGCAGCAGCAGAACTGGAAGAAGAAGCAAAAGACAGCCAGTTCCACTGTGGGCCTGATAGAAACCCACCGGGGGGCCTGATCCAGCACCCGGGGTCGCATGTTTGACACCCCTGGGTTAGAGTCTCACACTGACTAGGCTCTGGGAGACCCAGGTTCGAATCGCTGCTCTGCCATGGATGCTTGCTGGGTGACCTTGGGCCAGTCACACACTCTCAGCCTAACTTACCTCACAGGGCTGTTGTGAGGATAAAATGGCAGTGACCTCAATAGGGAGAAAGATGGGATAATAAATAATAAACCTAAATATTAATTATCTAAAAATCTGAATTCACCTTGAGCCAGTGTGGTGTGGAGGTCAGAGTGACGGAATAGGATTGGAGAGACCTGGGTTCAAATCCTCACACTAGCATAAAGCTTGCTGGGTCACCTTGAGTCAGCCACATTCACCCCTCCTAACCCGCCTCCTAGGCTTGTTGTGAGGATACGATGGGAAAACCATGTAAGCTACCTTCGGCTCCTTGGAAAAAGGCTAAAAAAAGGTACTCAACAGAGAGGAAAATTCTCATTTTAAGCAAACTGGTTTCATCTTGCTGCATCTGCGGTTATTTAAATTCAATTATCTGTATATTCCTTTACAGAAAGAAGGATGAACTCCAAAAATGGGCTACAGGAATATTCCCTCTCCTTCCCCCACTATGCATTCAGTGAGAGAAAAGCCGGTGGCTTTCCATTCACGAGCACCCAGAAGCCCGGCTGTGACTCACCAAAGTCGGCTAACTTGAGCTCTCCAAGGCAACTGAGGAGCAAGTTTGGAGGTTTCAGGTCTCGGTGAAGGATGTGGTGTTGATGGATGTAAGCCAGGGCTCTCAGAAGTTGGAACATAAAGAGCTGGGGCGGGAGGGAGAGAAGGAAAAAACAGACGTCTGGGATTAGTGATTGATAAGTAACCCCTGTGTCAGGAAAAAGCCTTCGATATGAAAGAGAGAGGGAGTAGGCAGGAGAGGGAAGGGGGAAAAGCCTTAAACTGCCTGCAATCAACAGACAGGCCAGGGAAGGAGATTGTTGTCGGGCCAAAGGATTTTAAGTTTGGCTCCAGTGGGAGTCGGCCGCCTGCAGCTTCTCGAAAGCATTTCAGAACCCTGCTTTTTGAAAAGAAGCCAACCGATGGTCGCAAATGTTCGTAATAACTAGCAGCTCCGGCACTTGACCTGGCACAAAGTAGAGCACAAGGAGCTTTATGCTGTCTTTGAAGCATCTGCTTTATTTCGGGCAGAGCACAGGTGGAGGCAGAGAGGCCCTGCTCCAGGACAGCAAATCTGTTCCCCCTCCCCCCCCCCCCCCCCCCGAGAGAGAGAGATTGCATTCCCAAAATCCTTCAACTAGGCTCACAGCTCTGCCTATCTGCTTCTCTCCCTAGGAATCCAAAGTGCTCTTTCTTCACAGACACCCAAATACACACCCGCCCCCTCCATCCAGCTGAGGGGAGCACATCTTCTCAGCCCCTCTGGCAAGGCTCCCTCTAAGCTGTGGAGTCAGTCTTGTGAACAAAAATTCTACTTTGAGAGCTACTGGCATTAAAGTTGTGAACGAGTGATTTGGCTGCTGCATAAATGAGTTTGCTCTGGAGCCATCCCTTCCTGGGCTAAGACAAAAATGTGTGAGTCGGAGGCTAAAAAACTGTGAGCTAGCTCACTCTAACTCAGCTCAGAGGGAACATTGCCCTCTGGGTGTTTGGCCAATACACGCTTCCCAAAACATGAACTCAGCAGGATCCAGTCTCTTGACATGAATACTAATCTTTTTTTTTTTAAACCAACAACAACCCAGAACAAATATCTGTTTGCTGACTTTTGCCCAAGTTCAGCAGAATTGTTTTCTACCTGCAGGGCAAAAGGAAAAAAAAACAGGTTTCTTAAAGAGGAAGTTTTTAAATTCCCACAAGGTCTGAATATGTTGACAGATGTAGAAGAAAGGCACTTGGTTCTCTCAGGAATGCAGGCCGCCTGAGGGACGTTTTCTGTGGAAATAACTGGAAGTGAGGACCAAGATTCAAAGGCTATCTCTACCATTCATTCTCCTGCGGCTTTTCAGATTCCATCTTTCAAAGGCAGCCCCCCCCCACAAACCACAATCCCCCCCCCCAAGAAGAGAGACTTGAGGTGTTGGGGGGGGCTGCTTTCTGAAAGAAAAGATCCGCAAACTGCCACTTTTATTTATTTATTAAAACATTTATATTCTGCTTTTCCTCGTGGTTCAAGGTGGCTTACAATAGTAGTTAAAAACATTTTCAGATAAAACCAAAAATAAAACAGCAAGTAGTGAAGTACTGTGAGGCGTTTGGGAGTTGGGATATAACTCGTTTAATTTTTACAGGAAAATTCACATGGGAATAATGCTTCTGTTGAAAATGGCTGGGAACACAAAATATCCAGAGTAGGAGTTTCGCGTCATCCATTTGTGACTAAAACCTGCTCAGGCATCCAAATTTAAAAAGAGAGTATGTAGCCACCAGAGCTATGTTTTAACTTGATATTATTAATAAATACATGTACTTCTTTTTATCAATGGTTTTAATATTCGCCCTCTTTTCCACTAAACCTTTGTTTGGTTTTGGTTTCCACAGTGCCACCAGCTCTTGGTTGTAGGGTGTGTCATGCAGGTCATGTCTGAGGGAGGAATTGGATGTTATCTCAAAAAAAAAAAATACCCCCCCAAATGCCTCAGTGATTGAGATAACAGGACTGTAGGTGTGCAGGGATTACTTCCACAGAGACCTTGAACAGTGATAAGGACACTGGGTGTGAGCTCATGAGCAGTTGGGCCCAACAGCCACGTCTCCCCTCCAGATCAAATGGACACAGTTCACTCAGCCACATCTGTTAAGTGTTCCCCCAGCATAGTCATCCTGTCGTGGGATGACTTGGAGCTGGGTTAAAAAGGCACTACATCACAAGTGGTGTTTTTGGTGCCCTGCGCATTCATGGCACATGGCCAGATGTCTGAACGCAGGGGAAGGCATGCAGAACGGATTTAGCAATCTGAACCTGCAGATCCGTTCCTGCCACTAGTGAGGTTTTTTTTTTAATTTTGCCCCTATGCGCATGTATGCACATACGCATGAATGCATATGTGAGCATGTACATGCAGTTATGCACGTGCATGAGCGCACATGTGCACGCATGCATTAAAAACATTTTTCCCAGGAAGCGTGCTCCGTGTCTGAGGCACTGCGGTAATATGGATGCTTGACCACGGGAAGTCTGCATGGGTAGCCCGCAGCAGGGTGTGCTGTCTGGATGATATGCCCTGCAACACTTTAAACCGGTACAATTAGAGGCAGCACCCTATTGTGCCAAGCCACCAGTGTGACTACAGCCACAGACTCAGCAGGACTCCTCAAAAAGCCCCAAGGGGGTTGGGGATCACTGGTGCAGCGAACATGTTCCCCCGGTGCTGACTTAGAGCCCAGCAGCCTCCAAGCTAGGGTTGCCAACCCCCCCGATTTAGCAGGGGTCCCCTGCTTTTGGGGGGGGGTTCTACCCGCCGCCAGCCAGCTGGCCAACGGGGGAAGCCCCGCCCCAAGCCCCAGCACCCGCAGCCACCCTTCTCCCTGCACTTAAAGGGGCTCCCTTTAAGTGCAGGGAGCTGGCGTTTCCTGCGTGCCCGATCGGGCGTGTGAAGCCTTCCAGCTCCCTGCACTTAAAAGGGCCCCTTTAAGTGCAGGGAGCTGGCATTTCCCCACGCGCCCATCGGGCGGACATCCCCAACATGACGTCATCACGTCAGGGATGCCCCGCTCCCTCCTGGAATGCCCCCCAAAGTCCCCCGCTGGGGGCTAAAATGGACTTGGCAACCCTAATCCAAGCTGGGGGCCCTCAGCTGAAACTCCCCCTCAGCTGAAAACCAGCTGAGGAGCCTCTACTTTGCCCTCCCTCCCTAGAGACAAAACAGCCAAAAAGGAAGGTGTGAAAGAAACGTGGCCTTTAAGGCCTCTGTCCCCTTCAGAAAGACTGAGTGGGGCAGCCAGGCCCATGTGGAAAACCAGAACGCCGTTAACCATTGTGGAAACAATCCAAAGTGCTACAGTGCCTGACACTGGCTGCTCCTACAACTAGCAGTGCAATCCTAAACAGAGGGGTTTTCCACCTCACAGGGAAATGGCAGGCTTGTGTAGTAAACTGCCCTTACACCAGCATAACTCCGAGTGACGCCGGCATAGGGGTCACTCAGGTCCCTATTCCGATTCGGCCCCTCAGTTTAGGGTTGCTCTGTTAATTTATTTTAGTGGCTGTTGAACCCAGGCTTCCTCAGTCCAACCGTCTATCCACTGCAACATTCTGGCAAGAAGAAGGAGGAGGAGGAGGAGGAGGAAGAAGAGGAGATTGGATTTATACCCTACCCTTCACTCGGAGTCTCAGAGCAGCTTACAAACTCCTTTCCCTTCCCCTCCCCACAACAGACACCCTGTGAGGTAGGTGGGGCTGAGAGAGCTCTTTTGAGAACTGCCCTTTCAAGGACAGATCCTGTCAGAACTATGGCTTGCCCAAGGTCATCCAGCAGCTGCAAGTGGAGGAGTGGGGAATCAAACCTGGTTCTCCCAGATTAGAGTCCGCACACTTAACCACTACACCAAACTGGCTCTCTAAGTAACCTGATCTCGGCATACTGAAGAAGCATATGGCCCTGTCAGAACTTACCATGGCATTGTGAAGATGAATTCCCCCTGGATGCTGGGACATATACTGTGCCAAGTCTGTGTCCTAAACAATGTGGAAGAGAGAAAGACAGACAGGAAATCTAGTCCTCTGAGAGCTTTTCCACAGAATCTGACCAGGGGGTTCAACCACACATTAGAACTTGGAGTCCAACATGGCTACCCTCTGAAGCTATTGTAGAACTTGTATGAGATTCCCACAAGTCTGTTTTTTATTTAAATAGTACAATAGTCTGCCTGCTTATAAGGGACGGGGGAACAGCCTTCCTACAGGAAAGTGAAACATCAAACCATGCTGTGCAACATCGCAGGTTTTTTGCCTCTGCTATAGGCGCTATCGTGACATGCTGGTCCACAGTCCAATGACCACCGGAACATGATGTCTCGGGCAGTGATGCTCTGTATTCTTGGTGCTTGGGGAGCCACAGTGGGAGGGCTTCTGGAGTTCTGGCCCCGCTGGTAGACCCCCTGATGGCACCTGGGTTTTGGCCACTGTGACACTCAGAGAGTTGGACTGGATGGGCCATTGGCCTGATCCATCATCATGGCTTCTCTTATGTTCTCATGACCGGTGACAAAAAAATCCTATTGAACACAGTGGAACATATATTTGTATAAACGTGCTTTGGACTCATACTGTAACAGTCCAGTCCTTGGCAGTAACACCATTCAGAGTCGTAACTCTGCTTATGATGGCAGTAGAACTTAAATAGCACACAATGGTTAGATGCTCCTTGGTGAGGGACTGTCCCACCCAGTGCAACGGGACACAGCACTAAACCATATCAGATCAAGCATTTTCTAAAATGGATTATTTCATTTCTAGTTTTATCCTTTGCTTCCTTCAAGAAGATTTAAACGGCAGGTTTTTATGCTGGACATACAATGGTGTAATATTGAATCGACCACTAGAGGGAGCAAAACTTGTGCGGAACAGAAACACACACACACAAACCTCTGAAGGCACAGGAAGTTACAAGCCAGGAAAATAAGAATACCGAAAAGCCCAGAGTAGCTTTTAGGGCTGTGAGTATAGTGGGGGGGGGGGCTCATTTTATTCCGCACAACAGTTTATGACTGCAGAGACTGTGCGTGATCCAAGATGTGAAATAAAGTCATGTTACTTTCCAATAGAAGTCCTGTTGCTTGCTAGCGAAAATGATCAAGGCGTTTCTACATTTTTTTTTAAAGAGTTGTTGGTTTATTTATTTTTTGCTCCAGCATGACCCGAAACGTCTACTCCTCTCTCCTTTTTTATTTTTGGAACTTCCAGCCTGATTAAAAGTTCTGGTGGACTCAAAGGCTTGCGCATCATCTTGTGTCATTTTGGTTGCTCCTAATAAAAAGCATTATATGTATTTTTGCTCTAGTTTGGGGACATTACAACACAGGTCAGCAATATTATTTCCCAGCTTTCCTTGCTCTACACAATGCAGCCGCTGGGCGCTTCAGTTTCAATTCAGAGATACTGAAAACTCCCAGCATCTTGGTTTTCATGAGGGAAGGTTGCCAGGTCCCTGCTCTGTTTATTCCAGCTGAGGAAAGCATCTCGGTACCAGTAAGTTTTTTCCAGAAGAATCAAAAGCCGACTGAGAAGGGCGGGGTGGTTCAGCATGGAAAACGAAGGTCAAAACGTTTGCTTGCTTGCCTAGATAACAGGCTACTTTTCCAGCAATGTGGCCTTTCCCTTCTGGTGCTGGCTGTTCCAGTTAAATCACAATGCCTACATTATATTTTTATTTTTTATATCTGGTTAAAAGGACCACAGGACAACAGAGAATGTGCCGTTTTTGCCCCTATATTTAGGAGCGGTGGTAGCTCAGTGGTTAAGACGCTGAACTGCAGGCTGGAAGGTTGGTAGTTCAGCAGTTCGAGACCTGAGTGCCGCATGACGGAGTGAGCTCCTGTCTCTGGTTCCAGCTCCTGCCAACCTAGCAGTTCGAAAGCAAGAAATTGCAAGTAGATAAATAGGTACCACTTCGGTGGGAAGGTAACAGCGTTCCGTGTGCCTCAGCATTTAGTCATGCCGGCCACACGACCACGGAAATGTCTTCGGACAGCGCTGGCTCTTTGGCTTGGAAACGGAGATGAGCACCGCAACCCTAGAGTCGGATTCGACTGGCTTTCAAGCAAGGGAAACCTTTACCTTTTACCTATCACATTATTTATCCTAGCCATGATTAGCCAGAAGTTATTACTAACAAGGATGCTGTCAGAATTCCCCCGAGAACAGCAAGAGGAAAGGAACATGTTAACATCTCATTTCTGTGACAGCACTGGGAAAAGACCGTTGCCAATAAAGTTGCCAGCCATGGGTTGGGAAGTATCTGGAGATTTTGGGGATGGAGCCAGAGGAGAGCGGGGATTGGAGAGGGACTTCAGTGGGGTGTAATGCCATAGAGTCCACCTTCCAAAGCAGGCATTTTCTCTAGGGGAACTGATCTTTGTCACTTGGAGATCATTTATAATCTCAGATCTCCAGCCACCACCTGGAGGTTGGCAATGCTAGCCACCACCCAAGCCAGAACTCTTACCACCTGCTCTGCCCACCCTGTGGATTAGTCTGCTGGTGGCAGATAGATCTGTGGGTACTTCACCGTTTTCTGTTGTTATTTTGACATTGTAAGATTTTTTTTGGACATTGTTATTTTTTGACTTTTTAAAATTTTTATACTTTTTTTACCTTTGAGTCTGCACTGAGTAAAAGGAAAAGTGGGTTGAAAGTCCTCGGATAAACAAACATGCCGAAACGTTCAGGTAGCTGCCGGGGAGGGGAATTTTGGTTGAGAGGTTGTCTTGTTTGCATTTGTGAAATAATTGACTTCACCGCTAGATTAGGAGTCCATTCTCAGGCTGGATGCAAGAGGAATCGACTCCTGCCAATTTCAGTGCCCAAATAAAGCACTTTTAAAAAAAAGTGGCTTTTACTTAAGGGTTGTTAGAAGTAGGCTTGCCAACTCTGGGCTGGGAAATTCCTGGAGATTTGGGGGTGGAGCCTGGAGAGGGCAGGGCTTGGGGAGGGAGGGACCTTAGCAGGGTCTAATGCCAGAGAGTCCACCCTTCAAAGCAGCCATTTTCCCCAGGGGAGCTGATCTCTGTTGCCTGGAGGTCAGTTGTAAATTCCAGATCTTCAGGCCCTACCTGGAGGCTGACAACCCTAAGAAGGGTGAAAACAAGTAAGAAGCACCAGTCATGGTGATGTACTCGCTCCTCATATAGCCATTATATTAAAAGAAACTTCATAACATTACAAAAATATAGATGGTCTCCTCATTGGCTCACAGGTGTTCACGAAGCGTAGACAGGAACTCACCATATACTCAAAAACCAACGTCAGGGTCTCCTTCGTCTGGATGATATCGTGCAGCAGCACAATATTGGCGTGCTTTAGGCCCTTGAGGAGGGATGCTAAGGAAACAGCAGAAAGAGTAGTCAAGCCGAGAACAGCCATCCCTGTGAAAGGAAGCCGTTTGAGGCTGTGGATTCTGAGGTGATGTTGAGACAACCTCCTGGAATTCAACATCTTGGGATTAACAGCCTGGAATTTGGAGTTGAGGCAGTAACGTGACAAGATTTGTGTTCTTCCCTACAGAAGTGACAGGGAAGTTAAAATTATGAGCGTGTCCCTCCCCCCCCAGACATGGTCTGCTTTTCTTATTGGTGTTACAAAGTGCAGGTCATGCCCTTAGAGAGGGTGAACAGTTGCCTGATAGATTCTAGGACAGGCCAAAGATCAGTACGGGGATACCGGCATGAAAGCATACCTCAAAGGACTAACTCTAATTTATATTAGAATCCAATCCCATTCTTAAACTCATTGTCCTGGTAGAGTCTCTCTTTCACCCAGGACCACTTTGAAATGCAATTGGGGTGGGGGGACGACACAATGGGCATTTAAGTCTGTAGGCTGGCCTGGTAGGCAAGCAGTTGTTACACACACACACACACACACACACACACACACACACACACACACCCCTCCTTTCACTTTAGTGTGGGAAAAGATTAGTGTGGCCCACTGGGACCACGAGGCAGACTAAAGCGCTAGTCTTAGTAATAAATTAAGCAAGCTGTTTTGGATATTACATTTGACTGGATCATCTAAAGGTCTGATGGGAATAACAGTTAAGAAAATAAATAAATCCGGGAGACATCAAGAGAACTTCAGACATGTTGTCCAGTACTGTGACTTCTCCCGGTGACCAAAAAAGAGCAGAGGGGGAGAAGGAGGAAAAAAGCATCCTCTAAGGTTGCCAGCTTCAGGTTTGGAAATTCCTGGAGATCGGGGGGGGGGGGTGGAGCCTGGGAAGGGCAGAGTTGGGGAAGGAGCTCAGCAGGGTATAATGCAGTGTGCACCTCTTGATTTTGTAGGGGGGGGACTTAATTTCTAAGAAGACAGAAAAAAAGAAGGGAAGGTAAGGGAAGGGAAGGGCACCCTTTACATTCCCAGGAGCAGTTTACTTTTACATCCCACGTTAGAGGATCCAGGCCCCAGTACTAGGGTTACCATCTCTCAGTTTGGAAATACCTGGAGTTCTGGGGGCGGAGCCTGGGGAGGAGAGGGCATAATGCCATAGGGTCCCATCCTCCAAATCTGCCGCCTTCTCCATGGGAACTGATCTCCATGGTCCGAAGATCAGTTGCAATTTGAGAAGCTTGCCGGGCCCCACCTGGAGGTTGGCAACCCTGACCAGTACCAAAGACTGATTTGTAAAATGAGGCCCTGGCACAGATTAAGCCGTGGATTCGCTTTATTTATTTAAATGTATATCCTGCCCTCCCTGCCAAAGCAGGCTCGGGGTGGCTTACATAAAGTATATAAAACAGCTAAAACAGAAACTGAATAAAATCGTAACAGTACAGTTATAAACACATAACATAATATAATATAAAGTGCTAGTACAGTTTGTATCAAGATGGCGGGCATTAGCAGCATCCACAGGCAACATCCAACTTTGTGTTTCTTACCTTCTCTTATAGTCGTAAAAGGCACTCCTTCCTCAGTCTTCAGTCGGATGACTTTCAGTGCTACCAGCTGGCCGTATATCCTAATGGGACCGAAGACAACGAGATGCCCCACTCAGTGCGCATGTGAGCCAAAGTCCTCATGGCTACCACAAAGACTTAATTTATTTGCTTCAATAATACCCCCGGGCTTTCACCCCAATGTGGACCCAAAGCAGCTGACATCATCCCCCCCCTCCTTTTTATCCACACTCTACCTGTCAGGTAGGTTAGGCTGAGGGAGTGTGATTGGACCAAGGTCACTCAGTGAGCTTCCATGGCAGAGCAGGGATTTGAACCTGGATCTCCCAGATATTAGTTAGACACTTTAACCACTACATCACACTGGCTCTCATTTATAAACTGTGAATCAGCCTTCAGTTAATTGTGGCAATCACTTTCCAAATACACTGAGTAACTGCCATGGACTCAACTAGTACAATTACTTCCTGTACAGAAATACTTGCCTGCTGATCCCCTTGTACACTGTAGAGTGAGAACCTTCATTCAGCTTCTCAAGTTTCAAGTAGGATGTAGCATTTCCAAATGGGAGCACCTTTCTTTGCTTACGTGGGTTGAGGAGGAATATGGAATAAAGAAACAGATACCTGTGATTGGATTATTTTGGGTTTACATAACAGTTAGTAACTGTTGAAGTTACACAAAACACTTCATCAAGAAAAATGAGGAAGCAGATAATATGCACGAGATTAAAAGATACTTAACCATTTATTTATTTGTTTATCAGATAAAAGGCGAAAGAGACATGCTTTCTTCCTTGCATCTGATCTTCCAGACTGGGTTTATTGATCACTAAGGGAAAAGTTATGGAGCTGCGGTGGCTCAAGTGGTTAAGACGCTGAACTGCAGGCTGTGGAAGGTCAGTAGTTCAGCGGTTCGAGACCCGGGTGCCACATGATGGAGTGAGCTCCCATCTCTGGTTCCAGCTCCTGCCAACCTAGCAGTTCGAAAGCAAGAAATTACAAGTAGATAAATAGGTACCACTTCGGTGGGAAGGTAACAGCGTTCCGTGCACCTTGGTGTTTAGTCATGCCGGCCACATGACCATGGAAACGTCTTCGGACAGCGCTGGCTCTTTGGCTTTGAAACGGAGATGAGGACCGCAACCCTAGAGTCGGATTCGACTGGCTTTCAAGCAAGGGAACCTTTACCTTTACTTTTAAAGGGAAAAGTACTTTGCCCATGCTTGGAGGAACTCTCCTATTTACATACACTTCACATGCTCCAAGACTGAGATCAATAACTGAAATTGGTCTTTATGACTGAAAGTAGGGGTACCAACCTCCAGGTGGGACCTGAGGATCCCCCAGAATTACAGCTCATCTCCAGACTACAGAGATCAGTTCTCCTGGAGAAAATGGATACTCTGGAGGGTGGACTCCGTGGCATCGTACCCCCCACTGAGGTCCCTGTCCCCCCCTTGGCTCCACCCCCAAATCTCCAGGAGTTTCCGAAGTTGGATCTGGAAACCCAACACCCTCATCCCTGGCTGCTGGCTAGGGAGGACCTGAGTCAATTCAAGACTCAAGTGAATCCCAGACTACTGTGCAGATTACAAACACATGCAAACATTGATAACAACTACAGCATTTCTAGTTACTCTGGAACAGCAGTGTCACAAAACACTGTCACACTCACAACCAGTGTCTGGTCTGGGTTGTGGGCCATTTACAATCTTCCCTTTTGTGGAGAAGGGTGGGCGGATTTCAAGTCTGCCTTATTTTGCCAGAGCTCCAGGGTCCTCTACCGGAGCAATCTGTTAAATGACTCTCCTTCCCCGTCCCCGCTCCCCCGGGCGGGGTTATCTGCTGCAGTCACTGGAAGTATCTGCCTGTATGAATACAAATTCATATCTGAGATTCCAACACCGAGTTCTGAAAATGCTACCCAAAGACCTGGTCACAGGCAGACAAGTAGGGTGTCAACCTCCAGGTGATGGCTGGAGATCTCCCGGTATTACAATTGATCTCCAGGCAACAGAGATCAGTTCCCCTACAGAAAATGGACACTTCATAAGGCAGACTCTATGGCATTGCACCCCATTATGCTCCCCTCCCCAAACCCCACCCTCCCCAGGCTCCACCCCCAAATCTCCAGGAATTTCCCAACCCAGTTAGCAACTCTAATCACTGCCTGTGTCTTGGGTAGTGTCAAAAGGCAGCAGAGGTTCATCAGTGGCTATTAGCCACAAGGTATAAGGGCTTCTGGAGTTCTGGCCCTGCTGGTGGACCTCCTGATGGAACCTGGGTTTTGGCCACTGTGTGACACAAAGTGCTGGACTGGATGGGCCATTGGCCTGATCCAACATGGCTTCTCTTATGTTCCTATGAAGGTTTTATGCCACACTGCCATGCTAATTGCCTTCCTTGGATTGCCAAATATCTCCCTGCCCCTGTCCTGCCACATTAGAGGTATTAGCTTCACTGCTTGGCAGTGGCTTCCTAGAGGCCTACAAGCTTGTTAGCTCTACGTCCCTCATAGAAGTAAAATCATCTCATGTTTACCACATAACTTCACAATTTCTCAGTACTGGATGTCACATTGTTATTTGCAATTATATATTTGATAACTTTCCATATGGCATTTTGGCTGTTTCTCCACAATCCCATATTGCTGTTTCTGCACTGATGGCTATTAAATGCTATGATTCATATAATCTAATTCTAGTCTACTGTCAAGCGCTCCAGGCCTTCGGGATTGGTTTGGATACGCATTCAGATTCAGAAATGACAATAAAACTAGGACACATTCACTCACCCACTGGACTCTCTCAGCAAAATCCTGCTCCTGAGATGGGGCGCTGAAACGGCGTTGCTTTACGCTTCCACCTTTTTTAACCTGGAGCATATGGAACCATTGCGGATCTGAAGAATTCTCAGGTTGTGATATTCTGTGTGCCTCTGTTAACTGACAGGGAGAAGTGGCAACCAAATTTAGGGCAATTATATCTTTCGTCATATCCCTATCTTGTCAGATTTAGGCTTCAGTTTCTCAATTGCTTTCAGACACCTGGTCAGCTGGAAATGCAAGATAGACCTGTCATCTGCATATTGGTGAAAAGCCAGTCCAAATCTCCGGAAGACCTCTCCCAGTGGTTTCATGTAGCCGTTAAAGAACATAGGGGACAAGACGGAACCCCAAGGGACCCTACAGGCAAAAGGCCAAGGGGCTGAGCTGCAGTTCCCCAAAACCGTCTTCTGAAACCTCCCCTTCAGGTGGGACTGGAAGCGCTGTAAAATGGTCCCCTGAAGTTGCTGTAAAATGGTCCCCTGAATTTGAGACTGGTTGATAATTATTGAGATATCCTGGGTCTAGGATGGGCTTCTTTAGAAGTGGATGCACCACAGCCTGTTTCAAGGTGGTGGCAAAAATACACTATCTCAAGGAAGCATTAACGGCCTCTCAGACCAAGTCAATCAGCCCCCTCTGGATATGCTTGCCAACATCCAGGTGGTGCCTGGAGACCTGTAATTGTAATGGCTCCTTTGGAGGGTAGACTCTATACCATTCTGCCTCATCAGCAGACAAAAATAACACAGAAAGGACAAAGATCTGATAAAGAACTGGCCTCTTAGTGTATGAAAGCCCTTTCTTCAGAGGGCCCACTGACACCAAGTACCTTCCAGAAGCAATACGAGACCTTTCATTTATTCAAAAATTTTGTAGCCATGGCGATACTGGCAATTCTTTCTCCTACAGATCACTTTGTATTAAATGCTGTTATCATTTTTGCAGTACCCTAACCAATTCTAAGTCTTCAGTGCCAGGGCAGGTAACAATTCTACCTTAAGAAACAAATGCATGGATAACACATGCCAGCGATGCTAGGAGTGAACCGGTCCAACAATAGAATGTCTTGCCAGTGTGTTCGGTGGAAAAAAACCTTCCAAAAGGACTTGTGGAAGCTTCCTGTGGACCTAAGCCATATAGCTGGTTTGAGAGTAGAAAATTCTAGCCATACCTTACTTTCCCTGACATTTCTAGTTTTGTGGAACAAATATTGCTACTGAGACTCTAATCTGGAAATCTCTGTATCTTCCATGGAGAACTTGGCTGTTATCCCAAAAGAACATCAAATTCCAGCATCCGAGTAGCGTATTACATACCTTCCCAAAAGACTCTGCTCTATTAGGCCGAACGGTGTCTTGCAGTGATGCATCTTCAGTCTCTTCTTCGCAGCAATGTTTGCACCCAGGACTGAAAGCATTTCTACAGAGAACTTCTCCCATGTTATCCTGTCCTCCAACTGCCGGATCTTTTCCCTCCCTCTTATCACTGTTTCCTCACAGCTTGCCAGAGACTAGAAATGCATGAATGTGCATATGACTTGCATGAGGCCTCTGTCCCAAGCCCCATGACTCAAGGATAGTTTTTCTCCACATTCCCGTTTTCCACATTCACCCAAATAAATACAGAAAGACGCTTATTATAAAGCATTTATTAAGGTCCTCATGAGTTCTCCAACGGCCAGCAATCCTCAACCCGGTCACATGGCGCCAAAGAAACCACTGATTTTTTTTCCCTGGGTCAGTAGCCATGTGGAAATTTGAGTCCAGCAGCATCTTAAGCACCAACAAAATTGTCCAGGACATAAGCTTTCATGAGCCAAAGCTCACTTCTTCAGATGAAATGAAAATCCTTCTTCAGGTCAGGATTGATAGGTACTCTTTCGTTATTCCCCAGCAAAGATGACTAAAAAACGTGGTTTCTGTGTACTATAGCAGCACGATGCTTGGCAGCTTTCTTCCACCAACCAAAACAGTTCCTGTTATGAAACTATCTAGAGGCTCTTCTTGTTCTTCTGCAGCCATTTTTAATCATCATAAAAGAGACATTTGTTTCTGAAGTCTAACCATGAGGTACAGGTAAAAAGAAAGCATCCTGTGAGCAGCTGTGTGTAAATTTGTGTCCAATAGCAGCAGCTTAAAGACCAACAAAATTGTCAAAGCAATAGAAAAGAGCAAGAATCCAATAGCAACTTAAAAGAGTGACAAAATTTGTGGCAGGGTATGAGCTTTTGTGAGTCACTGCTCACTTCTTCAGAAGTATCTGAAGAAGTGAGCAGTGACTCACAAAAGTTAAAGAGTAAGAGTCCGGTAGCACCTTAAAGACTAGCAAAATTTGTGGCAGGGTATGAGCTTTCGTGGGTCACTGCTCTTTCCTTTAGATACCAGTGACTCACGAAAGCTCCTCCCCGGCCACATATGCCCTATCTGTAAGCCGCCCTAAGCCCTTGTGGGGAGGGCGGGGTATAAATTTAATTATAAATAGATAAATAAATTTTGTTAAGACTTTACGGTACTATTGGACTCTTGCTCTTTTCTACTGCTACAGACAAACATGGCTACCCAACTTGATGTAAAATGTCAAGGGCATAAGCTTTTATGAGCCAAAGCCCACTTTTTCGAGTGAAAGGAAACCTCTTTTTCCAGTCAGGACTGATAGGTACTCTTTCTTTATTCCCTAGAAGAAATAGGGTTGCCAGCCTCCCCCATGGCCACTGGCCGGGGTTGGGGAGGAGTCGCCAGTTCAAGGCTGGAAAACACCTGGAGATTTGGGGATGGAGCCTGGAGAGAACAGGGACCTCAGTGGGGCACAATGCCATGGAGTCTACCCCCTCCCCAAAAGCAGCCATTGTCTCCAGGGGAGCTAATTTGTGTAGTCTGGAAATGAGCTGCAATTCCGGGAGAATCCCGGGGAGATCTCCAGGTCCCACCTGGAGGCTGGCATCCCTCCTTTCTTCCCTATCAGAGAATGACTTAGAGACGTGCAACTCGGCACTCTGTACTGTTTGCCTTCCGGCTTTTCTTCCATCCACCCCAACGCCTCCTTGCCACCAAGCTGCCTATAAAGGTTCTCCTGGTTTTTTCCGCAGCCATTTTAAATCATCACAAAAGTGACACCCGTTTCCATAGCTTCAACCGCTCGGGAGCCGCCTCGGCTCGCTCGAGCGCTGGCAAAGCCCCAAGACCAGGCCCGCCAAGCCAGGCAGGCGGGCCTCGACAGCCAAAAGCGACGCAGACCGAAGTCCGCCAAATTAGCCACCCTGCCCAGCAACAACCAGCAGCCAGTCGCATCGCGGGCAGAGAAGCGACCGTTTTCCCGCCACGCCGCACTGGCAGGACTTGCGTTTTTTTAACTTAACGCTTTTTACATTAGTTTGTCCCACTCGAGGACCCGTCTGCTCGCTCCACTCGCCCTGTTTCCACCCTCCCCGCTGTTTGTGTTTTTCCTCCTGGCCTCTTCGCCGCCTGAGGCTGGCAGGGTAGCTCCTCCCACTCAGGCCAACAGGCCCCGCCTCTTTCTTTCCTCCTCTTTACGTGAATCAGCTGATTTGAGCGTCCCTAGAAGCCGGCGGAGGAGCTTGGCGATTGACGCGAGGGCGCGCGGGGCTGCAGGTGAGACGGGGGGCTGGGAAAAGAGGGGGGGCAGCGCGGGGTTTCCAACAGCCAGAGTCCCAACTGCCAATCGGCTCCTCCCCTGTCCACCCCCTCCTCCTCCTCCTCCCGCGCGGTGTTGTGGAGCGAGCAGGGAGCCCCAGCTGGGGAGTGAAACTTCAGTCACGTGCTTCTCGCGGGAGGGGCGCGACTCGTGCATGGAACAGCCTCACCTGCATGTCGTCATCGCTGCTGTCAGCAGGTTGGCCGGCGCTCTGGGCTGCGCCCTCTCTGTCTCCTCAGCATCCTGGCTATCATAACAACCTCAACGATGTAATATGCCAAGATGGGTTAGCCGTGTTAGTCTGTTTGCAGCAGCAGAAAAGAGCAAGAGTCCTGGAGCGCCTGAAAGACTGACAAAATTTGTGGCAGGGTATAAGTCACTGCTCACTTGTTCAGATATCTGGATCTTCAGGTGCCTGAAGAAGAGAGCAGTGACACATGAAAGCTCCTATCCTGCCACAAATGTTATTAGTCTTTAAGGTGCTATTGGACATTATTTGTGTGTGTATAATATATGTATATATATATATCTCAAGATGAATATCCATGTTTGTAGCAGCAGAAAAGAGTAAGAGTACAGGAGCAGGTATCTCCTTCTGAAGGTATCTGAAGAAGTAAGCAGTGACTTACGAAAGCTCCTTCCCTGACACATATTTTGTTAGTCTCTAAGGCGCTACTGGACTCTTGCTCTTTTCTGTTGCATATGTGTGTATACACACACACACACGTATATTTTGTTTATAGTCACCAGTGGTCGGGCTCTCCCGCCTTATTTTATTTTCGTCTAACCTGAAGCAAAAATCTGTACCCTGTGAGGATTTTGTCATTTGATCCATCTCGAAGGGGGAGGACACACATTCACAAAGAACTGTGGCTTCGTTTTCTTTTCGCTACCCCCCTCACCGTTTGTAGGTCAAGCTGGAGAAGAGGCTTCAACTAACTGCCAATATGAGCTTGGTTCATGAAGCGTGCGTATGCGCAGATGTATGTTTCCGAAGTTAGCCAGGTTTGAGTCCAGTAGGACCTTACAAACCAACAAGATTTTCAAGGTATGAACTTCTGAGGGTCAAAGTCAGATGCCATGAGGAGGGCTTTGACTCTTGAAACCTTATACCCTGAAAATCTTTGTTGTTGGTGGTATTTTTACATTGTGTGTGTGTGCACATGTCTGTGTGCATGGACGTCATGGGGACCTCTGGCAACTCCTACTGGAGCATGGAGGATGTTCAGAGAAGTGATCTGATAGCCTGCCTCTGGCTTTCCGACCCTGGTATTCTCTGGAGGTCTCCCATCCAAGTACTTGCCAGGGTCGGCCCTGCTCGGCTTCCAAGATCTGACGAGACCTTGGCTATCCAGGTCAGGGCCTTATAACTTGGAAAACTTGTTGAACTCTAAGCTGCTGTTGAACTCAAATCTAGTTCGAATCCACACGTGTGTGTGTGCATACTTTAAGCAGTGGTGGTTTTAAAAAAGTCAGCAGCTGTTTGTAAGCACTGGCAGTTGCCAGTTATGGCTACACTTGTAGCTGTAAGTCAAAGCAAGGCAGTAATTTAGGGTTGCCAAGTCCTACTCATGAAATAGCAGGGGGAATCCATGGCATCCCTGGGACACGTGCCCCCCCCGCGATGACATCACCTGGAAGTGACATCATCAAGTCGGGCATGTTGGGGGAGGGGCCACAATCATTCGAGGGAAAACCATAGAGTTTCCCCTCAAATGATAGAACGTCCCCCTGCAACGTGCCCAATGCGAGATCACCTCCGGGGTGAAGTGTTCACGCTGGGCACGTCATGCGCTTTGGGGGTGGAGTTCCCCCTGGCGGCTCAGTCCAGGCTGGCGGGGAATGGGCCTCTCAGGCAGGGTTTTCCCCGCCCCCCGGGGGGACTTGGCAACCCTACAGTAATTGCATTTTACCTGTTGCCTTCGTCTTTTTCCTCATAAGCCTAAGATTGCTAGCTGCCTGGAGGGAAAAAAAATTATGTCCTGCCCCTTTAATAGAGGGCTAATGAGATCTTATTTCCTGGTGATATTATTCATCTCTTTGCCATGAAGAGCTCCAGCTGCCCCATTTCCACATGCTAAGCTTCTATTAAAGGGACAAGACATTTCCCCCCAGGCCTGTTGGCAACCCTACCTAGGCCAACTGTATTTGACAGTGTGGTGTAGGCTCCCCCACCCCATTAAAACAAGCACAAACTCTGGCAAAGTGTCAACAGGTGTGTTCAGAGCCTTTTTACCAGCTGTGGCTAAGAGCCTTTCCAAATGGAATTTTGTTTTTCCAGAGGGACTATTTGCTATTTTACTGACAGTAGCAAGAATGGATGATACCTCTGCCCCTGCTTAATACAGTGAGGTGAAGCCAGACTGATTGCTGAGGGGATACCCCATTACCAATATATTTTGCAAAAATGCATGGCTCACTGCTAGGTATAGTTTCCAGAAGGAGAATGCATTCAAAGGGGAAGCAGTACAAAATCCAGAATTTGAAATGGTGTAACTAAACAGGGAGAGGGTCTTTAGACAGTAATGCTATGGGTGCCAGATAGCACAGTGATGCTCACCCTGTGACTCAAGGGGGCCTATATTCATAGTTTCCATCAACTGAAAGAGCTACATTTACTTCCAACTGTAGTGTGAGTCCTGCACATCAGGGAGGTTAGTAGCTTACCCGTTTGTCTGAAAGTCACTGTTTCAAGGCGGGAACTACCTGCCAACCACAAGGCCTGCTGGGCAAGTGTCTTGCTTGCTTACCTGAAACATGGGGCAGGTGCTCAGAACAGCCACAGGTGGCATGTCAGAGGGCCACATGTGGCTCACAAACTACTGAGTGCCAGGTATCCATGATTAGCACACACCTTGTCCCTGCCACAGAAAGTCCTGTCTGCTGTGTGGCAAAGAATTGCTGGCGTTACTGAAAAACTACTGTTGTAGCATCGAGAAAACAACCTTGTTTCTCCATGATGGTGGGAATCCGGGGAAAGGGGTTTTTTTTTGGCAGTTGCTGCTGCTGCTGGGTCCTTACACACACACACACACACCCGTCCCACAGGAGATGAGGAGCTGTTTCCCCAAAGCTCTTTTTGATGGGTCCGAAGGGCCTTTGAGTTGGATTACTGTCTCCACAGGGGGAAAAGTAGGCTGTTCACCCTACTGAAAATGGTTTGCGTTGCAATGTTTTGAAATGGTTGTTATTGATGTGCCTTACTGAACTATTTGTAAAGTTGCCTTGGGGACTGTTTTTCATGTTGAAAGGGAGTCTGTAAATAAACAGATATATTCATGTGGCTGGGGTGATGGAGTCATTCTAAATGAAGTCCTTACAGGGGAACCACAGTTTCTCGAAAGGCCTTATTATTTGGAGGGTATTAAACCCAGGTGTTACAATCGTGCAGTCTGCTCTTCAAAATAAAAACATGGACTTGGGATTTGAAATTAGGTTTCTGATTGGCCTTCTGATGACAGTCATATATCCCATGGTGCCTTTGGACCTTTCCCACCTCAACTAGAGGTATACCATTAGCCTCTCTCTACCTTTTTTGGGGGGAAATTGCTATATAAGCGCCACACCTGCTTGAAGTGCGGTGCCACCTTCTGTCTTTTCCTTTATTTACGACTGAGGCCTTGATGTTCAAAGGCCATCAAAGGATCAATCAGCCAACTCTTGGCACAGCTTTTATTTCCTGCCAGAGAGTGGGGTTAGGAATTTCCTGAGACAATTGATTGTCCTCTCAGTTGCAAAGGCTGCCTGGATTCAATCGGCAATGGGTGCAGTGCCTCCTACGATCCCTGAAAAGCTTATTATGTCCTCAAGTGCCCTATGAAAGTTACACAGGGCCACCCATCTGAATCTTACCACAGCTGGTATTCTGCAGAGAGCATAAATGCGTCTGAAAGATGACTAAGGGTGTGGATTCAAGTCTACCTGAACCGAAAATATATCTGAAAAACACCTTATGGGTATTTCCCGGGTATATTTCAGCTTCCCAAATGTATCCGGGGTTTTCCAGGAGAACTGAAACCCACCCCCGAAATCTCAGATATATTTGGGGTTTATCGGCAAAACCAGGCTGCCCAACAGAGCCTGTGGGAAGAACTCTCCCCTCAGGATCGGCTGCTTGGTGAGCTCTTTTGTGCAGTCTGGTTTAAAGGGACCACCCAAAAGAGCTGTCCCTGACCTGTCTCTCAGCTGTTTTTAGCGGCTTTGCCACTGCTTTTTTTTTCCTCAATGCTTTTCGGTTCGGGTGTATTGGACCCGAAAAAAATTGGGTTTTCCGAAAAATCCTAGATCTGAATACTTCACCAGTATTGGGATCCAGGGTTGTTATTTTTTTTGAGGGGGGGGGGAGTCCCGAAATTTTTTGGGGTCCAACAGACCCGAACTGAAAAATACCAAGGAAAGAAATTGCACATCCCTAAAGATGACTGCGTAGATCAAGTGCTGTCAAGATATGGTGATGCTGATTGGATATTAGCCAATTCAATCAGCACTAAATGTGCCATGGGATCCTTGGTATCTTGGGAAGGAAGCAGACCAGGCCTGGATATGTCATGAATTGGTGGTATATGGTAATCGTTACTTATTTTACAGAATTGATATCTTGCCTTTCTGCCCTCTAAAGGGCCACCAGGCAGCTAACAAAACGTGCATACTAAAATCCCATTCTCTTGCTTGTGTTGTGATGAGGACACATGAAACTGCCTTATACTGAAACAGACTGGTGATCCATCAAGGTCGGTATTGTCAACTCAGACTGGCAGTTACTCTCCAGGGTCTCAGGCAGAGGTCTTTCACATCACCCACTGCCTCATACTTTAAACTGGAGATGCCAGGGATTGAACCTGTGACCTTCTGCATGCCAAGCAGATGCTCTGCCACTGAGACAGAACCCGTCCCTAACTGTGACTCTGTCTGTACCGGTAGCCGTGTTAGTCTGTCTGTAGCAGTAGAAAAGAGCAAGAGTCTAGCAGCACCTTAAAGACTTAAAATTTGTAGCAGAGTAGGAGCTTTCGTGAGTCACTGCTCACAAAAGCTCCTACCTGCCACAGATTTTGTTAGTCTTTAAGGTGCTACTGGACTCTTGCTCTTTTTCACATATGTATAGTTCATATTTTCTACTTTGCAAGTAAACTCCTGTTTATGGAAATTATAAGGTCCAGCCCTAGGTATTGTTCTATGGCAGAAGTGTCAACAACAAGTGTGTCTTTTTTTTTCCTCAGTGAAGAAAATGTTGAATGAACGTACCTCTCTTCTGAGTATTTCAGCAACTTTATTTGCAGCCCTTTTAGCAACTAATATTAGGAGTGGTGCTGGCTAGCAAAATCCCAAAGTATTGTAGTGGGCGTGTTCTGTTTCAAATGGCTTTTGTTCTAACAGTGTAGAGGCCTGTCATAGGACACGTGGGCAGAATGAGGCTTACCGCTGAGCTTTTGTGCACTGGTTTGTTATAAAATAGTTTGGATGTTTTTACACATTCCACGATTGTGTGGATGGTCATTCAGTTAGGTATCTGGGACTAGTTTTGTTTCCTTGCACTTTTCAGCGATCCTGCGCCATAGAAGCATCAGCTGCCAAGTTTGTATTTTGCTTCCAACTCAATGGTGTTTAGAACTATCCCGTTCCATTCTCGGAGGAATGATTTTGTGATGGAGTATTCTTGCTGACTAATGGACCCAAAGGAGAAAAGGTAAGGCACGTGCGATGATGAATCTGTGTAGGTCTTTGCATAGTTTGAAACTAAAAATGAGCTTGTTGATATCCATTAACCTATGGCACTTGTAGATCCAGGCAATGGGGTAGTGGATAAATAGAAAGAAACAACAGAAACCAACTGTCAGCATGGCAACAGCCTTTTCCTATAGTGATAGGGATCCTATCACTCCAGTCTTTTCCCATATACACTGACTTCCATTTTGCTTCCGGGCTCCATTCAAGGTGCTGGTATTGGCCTTTAAAGCCCAGTACAGCCTGGGATCAACATACCTTAAGGACCGCCTTCTCCCACATGAGTGTACCCATTCTCTCTAGTCATGTTTGGAGGCCCTTCTTCAGTTCCTCCTGCCGTCAGAGACAAGACGGGTGACAACCCAAGAAAGCGCTTTCTGGGTTGTGACACCAAAGCTTTGGAACCCCCCTACCTAGGAAGATTGGCCTTTCTCCCTCTAGCAGTGTCTTCTATCCAGTGGTGAAGACTTTTTTGTTTCATTTGGCATACCCCTGGTAACAGATATTACCCCTCCTCTCCGGTTCTGGTATTGCTTGTTTATGCGTTTTTAAGGTTATTTTATCATTTTAATAGATCACGATGGGTAGCCATCTAAACTTTTTTTTTTAAATTATCTGAATGTCTGCAAATGTTCCAGTAGGGCCCCAGATTCAATTTCCCATATTATTCTGGACTGCCAGCTGCACACATCCTCACGTATGAAATTTTCACCCTTTCGGCCACACTTATTTTCTAATAAATCTAGAACTGTTCAACATTTCCTTAATGATGCTAATACTGAGACCACAATTATGGTTGCAAAATTCTTAGCAGAATCAGTTGCACTTCGACACAGATTTTCTTTACATAATATATACACTTTTATTGTTTAAATTTATCTGCTGGAACTAAATGTATCTTTTCTATATTACTATGCCATTAAAGGTGTCTGAATTTAAATCTGAATATCATATTAAAGGTGATGAATATATTGATTATAGTTTTAATCTTTTTTTTTAGTATTCCACTAGTATTTAAATATTTAGTAAGAATAAAACTTAGATTTTGACAAACGATTCAGACAATATTCAGGCTTTAACGATGATTTAATTTTAGCGCAGAAGTTTGTTCAGCTGTTAAAGATGTAATCTTACTGTTCATAGATTATCACTGACATTAGGAAAGTTCACACTTTTAAAGAGAGAACCCTGTAATATTGATGTTTTATTGTCTGCTTCTATATTTGAAGTATGTATTCTTACTAATACATCTGGTTTTACTTGCTGTATGTAACAACCCATATAATATCTGATAAATTTGATGAATCTATATTTTCCCCTACCCCCCCTTTTCCCTTTTGTACCCCACTTTCTTTGAGAAAATAAATTAAAAGATGAGTAGCCGTGTTAGTCTGTCTGTGGCAGTAGAAAAGAGCAAGAGCTGTATCTGAAGACGTGAGCAGTGACTCAGGAAAGCTCCTCCCCTGCCCCAGATTTTGTTAGTCTTTCAGGTGCTCCTGGACTCTGGCTCTTTTCTATAATTTCACTGTTGTTTTTAATTGCTTTAATGTTTTATATGTGCCGCCTTGGGGACCCCGATTGGGTGGAAAGGCAGTGTAGAAATGTTTTAAATGAATAAATAATCAGCTTTAACTTAAACGTAAAGCCACTCACAACAGAATTGTCTTAACCAGCCTTTAGAAAACTGAAGTGGATTGGCCAAAATGTGCCACATGGGGAAGAGGTAGCTCTAAATTCTTGTTACTGCTACTACAAAGATTGTATCTTGTATAGTAGCTGCCCACCTTGTGACAGCAGGGGAACAGAGAGTGGGATCTCTTCAGATGACTTGCGTATTGGGATAGGGTTGCGTTGGGGAAACCCTGACTGGCATGGCCCAGGCTAGCCTGACCTTGTCATATCTCGGAAGCCAAGCAGGGTCTGCCCTTGTCAGTATTTGGATGGGAGACCACCAAGGAAATGCAGAGTGGCTATGCAGAGGCAGACCATGGCCATCCACCTCTGAAAACCCTATGGAGTCACCGTACGATGGTTGCAACTTGCCGGAGAAACCAGACCTTGAGGGTATGCTTGTGATCAGGGCTTTTTTTGTAGAAAAAGTCCAGCAGGAACTCATTAGCATAATAGGCCACACCCAGCAGCAGAAACGCATTAGCATATTAGGCCACACCCCTGACTGCACCACTCATTAGCATATTAGGCGGCATTCCCATGTTACCAGAAGTGTGGTCATCCAGCCACGCCCACCTTTTGCTTCTTATTCTGTTTACCTTGTTTGTTGTCAAAACCCAGGGCTTTTTTTGTAGCAGGAACTCCTTTGCATGTTAGGCCACACACCCCTAATGTAGCCAATTCTAATGAGTTCCTGCTGTTGGGTGTGGCCTATTATGCTAATGAGTTCCTGCTGGGTGTGGCCAACTTGGGAGCCAGCAGGAACTCCGTTCTTGTGCGTTCCTGCCCAAAAATAGCCCTGCTTGTGATATATAGTTTAGGGGTTTTAGAGGTCAACACTATTACTTTAAATAGGGCCCTGAAACAAACTGGAAGACAGCGAAACTGCTTTAGGAACAGCTTGCCCCCCCTTGGTAACCCAGCAGCTTCTTTCATATCAGCTGAGATTTCCAAGAACTTTTCAAAGTCAGTCCCACAACAATAGTCCAGTCTAGAAGTCACCAAGACATGTGCAACCGTGGCCAGACTCCTCCAAAAAGCAGGCAGGGAAGAGAAACGACTGGCATTCAGTTAAATCTGGGCAGGCGAACTCAGGGGGGGGGAAGAAACTGGCATTAGGAAGGACTGAAAACTTAAGCGCAAGGCTTGTTTTAACATTTGATACCTGTGCTTTTAAAGCTATACATCACTTCGAGGCACAGAGAGTGTAAATGATCAATAATGCGATAGATCTATTCAAACTATGACCTCTTCTTTCGAACCAGAGTATAGAGGGCGAGGAGAGCCGGGGCTGCACATAATTTCCACCCACCTACTTTTTAAAATTAGCAACTGGTTGAAATGGAAAACCCTTCAAACGCCTTCCTTGAGAGCAGCTTCCTGCTACAGTGCCATTTACACAGGCTTCTGTATGTTGGCTTTATGTTTGATAGTGACTGCTGGAGACAGGCAGACTGAATTCCCTCCAGATGAGCATTGACCAGCGTTGGGGGTCATGCGGACATAGCTTTGGATGGTCCTGCAGCTTGCATGTTGCGGTGGATTACTTGGCATTAGCTATAGACAATGAGCAGTGAAGTGTCAATAATGAGTGTGTCTGTGAGAGAGAGAGAGAGGAACAAACAAACAGCGCAAGTGATGTGCATGTGTGGGAAGACCTTACCTTTGCAAATTTATTTTTGCTTCCTCTCTAGCTCATCAGAGCAAGAAGGAACAAGAGAGAGGGGCCTGGTCTACACTTGGCAGGCTGGCAGCTGTTCACTGACGCCCGAAAGCCTCCCAGGTTGGAGTGGAAAGACGGTATTGCAGGCAGCGCTTGGAACACACCATGGCATCCTTCTGTCAGATGGTATGGAATAATGATTATCCTTAAATCGTCATCACCAGAGGTCATTTCGGGGGGGGGGGATCGCAGTTCCCCCGGGTGAGGTACGGGGGGCGGGGCACATGACGAAGCCCCGCCCCCTGCTTCCGGCCGCCCCGCTTCCGGCCCTCATTCAGCCAGGAGGAGGCAGGAGAAGAGGGAGGGTAAGTTGCTTCCTCCCTGCCTCTCCCCACCCCTGCCTGCCTGGGGCCAGGGAGGGCCTTCGCGGGGCTTCCTAGCACTCCCGCCGGCCTTGGAGGTCCACCGCCGGGCCCCTCATGGAGCTGCAAGGCCGGTGGCGGCGGCCGGGACCATTGGGGGTGGGGTGTGTGGCCTTATGACACACTTCCGGTGATGTCAGGGGGTGTGGCATATGCTAATGAGTTATGCTGATGAGTTCCCCTAGCTCTTTTTCTACGAAACAACCCCTGGTCATCACCGTTCTTCGTGAGGTTTCGCATGGGGTGAAAAGTACTAACAGAAGAGATCCTTCACAAATACTTCCAGATGGGAGACGACCAAGGAATTCCAGGGTCGCTGCGCAGAGGCAGGCACTGGCAAACCACCTCTGAACGTCTCTTTTCCTTGAAAACCCCACGAGGGGTCACCAAAAGTCAACTGCGACCTGTCTGCACTTCACACGCACAGTGCCAAGTTTTTCCACGTTGTTTCTTTCAGCTATTTCTCCACTGCCTTGGCCTGACCTGGATAGCCCAGGATAGCCTGATCCCATCAGATCTCAGTAGCTAAGCAGAGTCGGCCTTGGCTAGTATTTGGAAGGACAACCCCCAAGGAATACCAGGGTCATGACGCAGAGGCAGGCAGTGGCAAACCACCTCTGAAACATCTCTTGCCTTAAAAACAAGTCTAGCTCTCTACCTAGTGGTGCATAACACTAAAGAGCTAGAACTTCTGGTTGCCAAGCAGTCTTAGGATCTCCTGGCTATTCTACACACAATGCCATATGATAATTCGTTAATTAATTTTGCTGCCTTTCCATGACAGATGTCCAAGGCAGCCCCCAACAAGTACAGTCAGCAGAATTAAAGCTCAGGGATAAACAGATTGAGAACAGCAGGCCTGTAGGCAAAGGAGGTAAATTGAGCTTCTGGGTAGGGAGTTGCTAAGGTTAAGAACAGGTGATAAGAAGGTTTCTATTGGGGTTCCCACCGAGTTCACACTTGATGGCTTCAGAGCCCCATCGGACAGTCTTGGAGTCTGAGATGGAGCAAATGGGCGGAGGCTTAAGTTGTGGACTTGAATCCGTGGCTGACATTTCAGCTTTTCTAGAGTTAAGAAAATGGACTCGATAAAAGACTGGCACCATGTATTCTTTTAATGAAATGTGCAGCATTGTACTTACCTCTTCAAAAACTTTGCTCTAGTTTTGTGTGGGATTTTGTCTTAGATAAACTCTTTACTGTGAGTTGTAGACTCACATGTTTTGTCGATGAACAACAGTTACAGGTAAGTGCAACCTTGTTATCTGGCTTCTGTTAGTGAAACATCCATAGGACCAGAGGATAGCCAGGCTGGTCTGCAGGAGAAGAGCGAGATTCGAGTCCAGTAACACCTTCAAGACCAACCAGATTCTGGGGAGGATGAGCTTTCCAGGATCAAAGCTCCCTGATGAAACCCTCAAAATCTTGTAGGTCTCTAGTCCTACTGGACTCGGATGTAACTATCCGTAGAACCATGCTTTTGGGCAAATTAGCTCCCTGTACATTTGCCTACTAAGTTGTGATAATTACTGTATTTAGTCACTTAGTCATATAATAATTGTACTTTCGTATTGCCCTTCCATGTTATCAAGGAGGAAGAAAAAGATGACGTTAATTTTATGAAATTTCATTTTGGTGTTTCTCTCCCCCCCCCCCCCCCCAGGTGGTGAGGTTTACAGCTTTGGCAAACTTCCCTGGAAAGCTGGGCTAGAAGACACCCGCATCAGTTGCCCCGTCTTGGAAAAGGCTCTGAGCGGGCAACGCGTCCTCAGCGTGGCTGCCGGCAGCTTCCATAACGGAGCGGTGACTGAGAATGGTGGGGTGTACATGTGGGGGGAGAATTCCTCCGGCCAGTGCGCCGTGGCCGGTCAGGCGGCTGTCCCCGAACCGAACCCCGTCAGTATTTCCGACTCTGAAACCAGCCCTTTGTTGCCGATAAAGATCTTACAGCTGGCGTGCGGGGAGGAGCACACCCTGGCGCTCTCCCTAAGCCGGGAGATATGGGCCTGGGGAAGCGGCTGCCAGCTGGGACTCATCACCACCACTTTCCCAGTGACCAAGCCACAGAAAGTCGAGCACCTGGCCGGGCGGGTCGTGCTTCAGATCGCTTGCGGGGCCTATCACAGCCTGGCCCTTGTCCAGTGTCTCCCCAACCAAGACATGAAGCCTATCCCGGAGAGGTGCAACCACTGCAGCCAGCTACTGATCACCATGACAGACAAAGAAGACCACGTCATCATCTCAGATAACCACTGCTGCCCTTTGGGAGTGGTTCTGGCCGACTCCCAAGCAGAAAACCACATCTCCCCCTCATTGGAAACACCTGACGGGAAGAGTGCAACGTGCAGCCAAGACGAAGACTGTCAGAAAGCCCTCGGGGAAGAACAGGCGCTTAGGGGCACGGAGTACGATGAGGCAAGCGTGTGTTCCAACAGCGATGGGCAGGAAGACAGTGGCATTTCCAGCCCGGGGCATCCCTTGGTAATGGACAAAATGGCATCGAAGCAACACGCAGTGGTTCTTTCGGATCCTTTGTCAGATGAAAGTGGGGAGAAGCAAATCAGCACGGAACTTGACCAGGTACTTGCATCTGTTGGATTATATTTGCCTTGCTACTGTTTGTATGGTCCTGTGACTGTCTTAGGCTCTTACAGTTCTCAGGAATAGAGATTCAAGTCGGTAGCTCTGTTGGTCTGAAGCAGCAGACCAAAGTTTGAGTCAATGCTTCCTCTAAGCTGTGGAGTCTTGTGAGCAAAAAATCTACTTTGTGAGCTACTGGCATTAAAGTTTTGAGTGAGCAATTTGGCTACTGCATAAATTAGTTTTCTCTGGAGCCATCCTTCCAGAGCTAAGACAAAAATATGTGAGCTGGAGGCTAAGAAACTGTGAGCTAGCTCACACTAACTCAGCTTAGAGGGAACACTGGTTTGAGTCTAGTGGCACCTTTAAGACCAACAAAGTTTTATGTAAGTATAAGCTTCCGTGTGCATGTCGTGTATCTTCAGATACAGTGAAACAAGGCGTCCTCAGCCATTACGTATAGGTGTGGGAGGGTGTTAGTCACCACGAAGGGCTAGTTTGAGTCAAGATGCATAAATAATTGAGCAGTTATAGCTGAGATTGGATTAAAGCGGTTGGTAAGATCTTTGAATAGCAGTAAACTAGCATACAAATACAAGAGTTAACAAACAGATGTGAGAACTGAGTTTGGGTCCAGTGGCACCTCCGAGACCAACAAAGTTCAGTTCTGGGTATAAGCGAGAACTGAGAGACTTTGCATGTGTAGATGCACACTTCTTGAAACAGATTTCCTCAGACGTTACATATAGGTGGAGGGAGGTGTTAGTTGCCAAGAAGGGCTAATTAGAGACAAGATAACTGGGCAATAAATACAGCTACGATTGGAATAACACATTTGGTAAGACCTGTGCATAGCAGCAAATTGGTATACAGATAATAAAAAGAGTTAACTAACGGTCCAGGACATCTTGTTTCACTGTATCTGAGGAAGTGTGCATGCACATGAAAGCTTGTACCTTGGATAAATGGGTCCCGGTCACACCGGCCGGATATCGCGGGGGGGGAGGCGTGGCTAATTGCCCCGGCGCAGTTTGATCCGCGATTACACGACCAGACGCGCCGGCGGCACACCCCGGGTCCTTCCCTTGGTGCCGGCAGGTAAACGAGGGTGGCGATCACACGCACGATCACACCAGCAATGGCTAGGCGCTGCTGCCATGACAAACGGGGTCATTTTTTTTAAGCCAACACGGCACTTTTGCTTTCTTTGTGCGCATGTGCCGTTGGGTGCTTGTGCGCATCTCGTGGAGACTTGGCGGAAAAAAACCTGTTTGCGAAGGGACATGGGCAGGCGCCGGATGCCACCACCAGAAACACGATCAGACGCCAGCCCTTGCCCCACGGTTTCCGGAATCTAGTACCTTGGAGGTACTAGTTTTTAACTCCGCATCTTCATCGGGAAGCCCTCAGGTTCGCCATGGGAGCTCTACGCTTCCCAGATGTTGCGGTGTGATCGCGCCCGGAAAATCCGCCTATCTTCCGTCTCTGTAGTGTGGCTAATGCTCCATGTGACCGCAGCCATGGTTGGTCTTAAAGGTGCCACTGGAATTCTCAGGAATGTAATTTTAAGCTAGAGTTGTGGTTCCGAAAAAGCATAGTTTCTGCCTCGCTCTTAGGCTGTAATCTAAAGCTGTGTACAAAGAGGGGAACTGTGCCTCCTGTTGAAAGTTTCATTGCAGCAGTTCTGGTTACCAAAAGCACTTAAAACTCCCCCCCCCGCCCATGAACAGTGTCTTTTCCTGACACTTTCTTGCTCATGTTCGAACTTCCCACCTTCCGCAAACAGTTACTTGTGAATGAATCGTTGCCCACCTGCCGCGAAATGCTAGCGTGTAACCGAGGGCTCTGCAGCAAACGCCACTCAGTTCATGTGGGGTCAGGACTGTTGACTTTGCTGACGGCCTTGCTTTGAATGGGTAATGCGATCTAGCACACATACTCCTGCGCTTGTACGTTGCAGGGAAAGATGAGTAGCAGTGGGGATAGCTGTCTTCCAGGGAAACCTTTCCTTCGTAACTGATCTTCAGATCGATGAGCTCTTGAGAAGCTTATGAGGAACCCTGGGGTTTCCTAGAATACGTTATGAAAGCACAGGTTTAAGTGATGCATGCAGTCTATGTTCACCAAAGTACCAGAAGTGGCTAATAATGAGTGCAGTCTCCTGATCAGTGTTCTATAAAAACAGAGCCTTCCTCTTTACCATCTAAGTTGCTTTGAGGTTGGGATGTCTGGGCACATGTTATTTTTTCTGTTTGGTTGATTTGTTATAAAGTGTGAAAGCGAAGGAGCCCACTAATGTTGTTGTTGTTGTTCAGTGACACAGTCGACTCTGACTCTTTGGGACCCCATGGACCACATCATGCCAGGCCCTCCTGTCTTCCGCCGTCCCCCAAAGTTTGCTTAATTTCATGTTCATTGCATTGATAACACTGTCTGACCATCTCGTCCTTTGCCGTCCCCTTGTTCTTTGACCTTCAGTCTTTCCCAGCATCAGGGTCTTCTCCAGTGAGTGCTCCCTTCTCATTTGGTGGTCAAAGTATTTGAGCTTCAGCTTCAGTTTCTGGCCTTCCAGGGAACAGTCAGGGTTGATTTCCTTTAGGATTGACTGATTCGATCTCCTTGCAGTTCAAGGGACTCTCAAGAGTCTTCTCCAGCACCATAATTCGAAAGCATCTATTCTTCAGCGCTCGGCTTTCCTTATAGCTAATAGCTCACCCTAGAACCTGTTTTAGTGGCAGGCCTGAACTCTTTGGACATGTGAAGGAATATTAAGTGCATCTGTCTCACCCCGAACAGGAATCGTTTCCTCTTAGGAAGTGAGAGCTGATTATGGTAGATATTTCCCCCCCTCATTTCATATTTTGGACAGTTGCTAAAATTGTGCAAAGGTATGCAATGAATCTCGCGCTTGCTGAATATGTGCTTCGCCTCTGCCAAGAGATGGCAGATGGGTCTGTATAGCTGGGTTAAACATTAATCATTTCAGGTTTTCAAGCAGGGTTTTCAGTCTGAAGGTCTGTTCCAGTGGGTGGCTTATACCAAGACTTGGCAGGTTTTCATTGGTTTTATGAGCAGCTCCAAAAATTTAGGAGCCAGACCTTTTTTCCCCCCAGCCTTATGGGAGTTTACATTTTTAATTACCATACTTTCAAATTATTGCTACCACAAAGCCTAATCCTAAACTCTTTGCAGGTTCTTGTCATTTTTAAAAAAGCTGTAACAAAGGGGTCGTAGCATGCATATAAATATGGGCTAATCCTGGTTGTCATCACAGCAAAAAGCTAACCTCTATCCCTTACCGAAATAAGCTTTGTTCAGGTGGGTAGCCGTGTCGATCTGAAGCAACAGTACAAAGTCTGAGTCCAGTGGCACACCCAAAGTTTAATTCTGGGTATAAGCTTTTGTGTGCATGTGCATGCACACTTCTTCACGTGCACACGAAAGCTTATGCCCAGAATTAAACTTTGTTGGTCTTAAAGGTGCCACTGGACTCAAACTTTGTTCTAAATAAGCTTTGTACTTGAACACATGAACCTGCCTTATGCTGATTCCGGCCATTGGTCTATCGGGGTCAGGATTGTCTACTCAGACTGGCAGCAGCTGTTCAGGTTGTTAGGTAGAAAGATGCTCTGCCACTGAGCCATGGACCCTCCCTACTTCTACTGAGAATCATAAGAACATAAGAGAAGCCAGTGTTGGGTCAGGCCAATGGCCCATCCAGTCCAACACTCTGTATCACACAGTGGCCAAAAATACCAGGTGCCATCAGAAGGTCCATCAGTGGGGCCAGGACAGTAGAAGCCCTCCCACTGTTGCCCCCCCTCCCCAAGCACCAAGAATACAGTGCATCACTTGCCCTAGAGTTCCTATCTGTACCTTGTGGCTAATAGCAACTGATGGATCTCTGCTCCATATGTTTATCTAATTCCCTCTGGAAGCCGTCCATGCTTGTAGCCGCCGCCACCTCCGCCTGTGGCAGTGAATTCCACGTGTTAATCACTCCGTGGGTGAAGAAGTACTTCCTTTTATCTGTTCTAACCTGACTGCTCACCAAGAGGCCCTTAGAGGAAATGACTGCTGAAAATACTAGGCACCCTGATGAAGTTTCTAGGCATCCTGGTACCTTGGATTTGTTGATCCCAGGCTTACACCAGGAGAATATTTGTGTGTGTGTGTGTGTTTTTATATGTTTGCATGTGTGTCTGTGTGCGGTCACCTGGAAGTCACAGTGACCTTTGGTGACTGACCCGTACTTGGGGGCCTGGAGGATATTCAGAGAGGATATTCAGAGAGGTGCGTGAGCCTGCCTCGGCAAGGAGGGCGGGATATAAATCAAATTAAATAAATAAAGCCTGCCCCTGCCCTCCCAGCTCTGGTGTTTCTAGGAGGTCTCCCACCCAAGTTGACCCTGCTTAGCTTCTGTGATCGGATGCTATCCAGGTCAGGGCACCAGGAGAATATTCGTTGTAGGTACTCTTTGTATGCCTTTAATATTAAAAAAAAGAAAAGAAATGCTGCAGGAAATCTATAGATGTAGCAGATTTTATCACTTTACACTTTGTAGGCGCAGAGGCAACTAGGAATTCCATAAAGATTACAGTGTTGTGGTATAGAATGTCAGAGAGAACAGAGGGGATCTCTGCTTTCTTGCATATCCGAAAAGGTATTCCACTTTCATTGTGTACGTCTGGTTGGTAGGGTAGTAAAGGTTTGATCTTCTCTCCGTTCTGATTTAAACAAAAAACCTTGGAATTCATTAGTCTCACAGCACCAAATCTGTGTAATTCTACCTGCTTTTGCGATGCACTGTTAGAAACCCTGTCAAGCCTGCTTTTCTCTAATGAAGAGAGAGCGGCCTCCAAGCAGCCTCCTTACAATACCTATTCTTGTGATGTGCGGCGAAGGCCTCCGGCTGTGCCGAAATCAGGTTGACCCTAGTCGGTAATGATGCGTTCGAAACGGTTTCGCTTGGTGGAAAGACCATTACAGTTTAACCCGTCTTGTTTCTTCGCCGCAAAGAGGCTTCTGCTGTGCGTTACGATTTGTGTGTAATTTGAGGGATTTTATTTCCGTAGCTGCAGTTGTATATGTGCAATTAAAACGAATGTGCCATGCATGATTGTTCAGTATAGGGCAACGCCGTTCAGTCACCTGCAGGTCTCGTTTTGCACTTTGGCTGGCTATCGGGACTTCAAAGCCCAATATAACTGGGCTGTTTTTCACATCAGTAAATGATATCGCCTCTTCTTGATATAGCTTGCATTCCCAAAAGTGTACTACTGAGATGCTGGATTTTATTATTTTGGTACAGTAGTATCTTTTCTATATTTAATTGGGCTGACCATCCTTACCTCCTTGGGATTTTTATCCTGTAAATATACCAGAAGTGTCCCTCTCCGAAGCCCTCTCAGGAAAGGAAGTACACATACCTCCCATGTAGAGTGTCAGGCCTTCCCACCAGATCCTCGGCTTCCGTATACAGTCTAGCTATGGTTGAGGTGTATATTCATGTGCTGAGCATAGGGATGCCAGCCTCCAGGTGAGACTTGGGGATCATCTGGAATTACATAGAATCATAGAGTTGGAAGGTATCTCCAGGCTCATCTAGTCCAAACCCCTGCACAATGCAGGAAATTCACAAATACCTCCCCCTCCTACACCCCCAGCGACCCCTATTCCATGCCTAGAAGATAACAAAAGCCTCCAGAATTGCTTCCTGACTCCAAAGTGGCAATCAGCATTTCCCTGGGCATATAAAAAAGGGCCACAAGAACTAAGCACTGAGGCAAGCCATCCTGCCCTCCTCTCAGGATCTGCCTCAGTTCACAGAATCTGCATTGCTGTCAGACGGACATCTAGCCTCTTTGAAAACCTCCAAAGAAGGAGTGCCCACCACCTCCCGAGGAAGCCTGTTCCACTGAGGAACCGCTGTGTCAGGAAGTTCTTCCTAATGTTTAGCCGAAAACTTTTGATTTTCAGCCCGTTGTTTCTGGTCCGACCTTCTGGGGCAACAGAAAACAAACTCCGCACCATCCTCTAGATGGCAGCCCTTCAAGTACTTGAAGATGGTTATCAAATCACCTCTCAGTTGTCTCCTCTTCCAGGCTAAACATGCCGAGCTCCTTCAACCTTTCCTCATAGGACTTGGTCTCCAGACCCCTCACCATCTCCGTTGCTCTCCTCTGGAAAGCTAATCTCTAGACTACAGATATCAGTTCCTCTGGAGAAAATTGATGCTTTGGGGGGGTAAAATGTATGGCATTGTACCCCAGTCGCATTCCTGTCCTCCCTTGGCTCTGCCCCCAAACCTCCAGCAGTTTCCAAACCTGGAGCTGGCAAACCCACCCACCCTCACCACCACCAGTGGCCAGGAGGGGCCTGGTAACTCTAGCTGGGTACGACTTTAGAAACACCCCAGTGAAGAATCCTTAGGGGCTGCTAGGTATGTGTTTATGGAACTGTTAGAGAGTATGTGCTCTTGAAGAATAATCACCGCTCCAAATACAGATTGCTTGTTTTCTCCGAGCTAAGTACAAGGAAATAATATCTGCTCTGTAATATCCGCCACCCGGAATGCTGTGTGGAAATTGCCTCTGTTTCCCAGAAACATGAGGTATAACATCACTTGACTAGTAGTACTAGATATTAGTGTCAACATACACATGATTTCCCCCACAATCAGGGTAAACAAGCGTAGCATGTAGGGACGAGAAAATATGGGCTTTGCAATGAGACATCACTTGTGGGGGGAGAGGAGAGGGAGATGTTTGGGGTTTGTTGTTTTATTTTTGGTTTTAGCTGGGAAGGTTTTAACTACTATCATAAGCTGCCTTGAACCATAAGGAAAGGTGGGCTATAAATGTTTTAATAAATTAAAAAACAGAACTCTTTGGAGGCTATAGGGAGTATTTCATTATTAGTTGAATTCAGAGATGGCTGTAATTTTGGAGGTTTTTCTGAAACAATTTGCAGGACGCAGTCTTTAATTCCCTTTGAATCTTGTTTGAAACCCTGAAAATGCTAACTGTGAGTTTGTCATGGCATCAGTGGTTTTTCATTTGTCTAAAGTGAGCTCACTAATAAAATGGAGACTTTGCTTGGAAAGTAAACTTTTAAGAATAAGTGGGTTAAAATGTAAATAAACAGGTATTGTAGTATAGAATCAAAACGTAGTACCTTCCTTTTATTTGTATCAATGTATATTATGACTGATACATTGCGTTTTGGTGAAGAATATGGTATTGACCGTTCTGATGACTTGAAGATGGTGGATTGATGATGATCTTTCTTACTACAGGGGAAACTCATAGGGAAGGGACATTTCCTTTTCCTCTTCCTCCTCACCCCATTGCCTTTGGCTTACCTCTTCTCTACACGATTGCTGCTTTAGCTCACCTCTCCCAGCTTGCTTAGATTTTTGTCTCCCTGTGCGGTTGGCAGTTCCGGAAGCTGCTGCTTCCGGTGGCACCTGCTGCATTTTTGCTCACCATTTTGAGTTGCTATGGCAACCCACAGTGCTGCCTGGACTCCACATTGTTAGGGATTTCTTCCCCTAAATCAAAGATATTCTTGCCAACCTGGGAATTCTTCTGGATTTGCAGGATCCTGTTTCTTAGACTGACCTATTGTCTGTATTTGCATATCTGCAGAAGACCAGACTTTGGATAACTTAAGATGTAGTGGTGAAAAGTGCCATCAAGACACAGCTGTGTTACGGTGACCACACACGATTTTCAAGACAAGAGACATTTGGAGGTGGTTGGCCATTGCCTGCCTCCATTAAGATACCCAAATATTAATCTTCTGAGGCTTGCCTGCGCTTGGGTAGAATGCTTGTGGTAGCACCAACCCAGTTATAGCAACAGAAGTGTTTCACTGGGAGGAGTCGGGTATATGGGTTTTATTTTTATTAATTTAAATCAGGGGTCTTCATCCTAATTGAGCCTGTGGGCACATTTGGAATTCTGAGACAGTGTGGTGGGTGCCAATGCTCCCTCTAAGCTGTGGAGTCTTGTGAGCAAAAATTCTACTTTGTGAGCTACCCTCATTAAGGTTGTGAGCGAGCAATTTGGCTACTGCACACATTAGTTTGCTCTAGAGCCATCCTTCCTGAGCTAAGACAAAAACGTGTGAGCCGAAGGCTAAAAAACTGTGAGCTACCTCACACTAACTCAGCTTAGAGGGAACACTGGTGGGCGCAGCACAAAATAGCTGTCACAAAATGGCTGCCACAGAACGCAGAGCCAGCCACAAAATGGCTGCTGCAGGTTACTTCCAGTTACACAATGAAGATCCTTGTCCTGTGGCATCAGTCACTGCCAATGCAATGGTTTTGAAAATCTGCACAGCCAATCAGAAACCTTGCTGGCCCCACCTGGCCCCACCCACTTTCTGCAAGCACTTGGCGGTTGTCAGGACAAGTGTCAGCAGGCACCATGGCCCCCACGGGCACCAGACTGGAGAATCTGATCTAAACAGTTAAATGAAGTTGTCATACAACTTTGCTCTTCTGCTTGTGAGCCTGGGTATAGTATTTGTGAGCAACTTTTTGTCACAACAGTATTCATACGTTACAGAGTGGAAGCAGTTTAATGGAATAACTAATCCTCCACTCTGACCTGGAAGTGTTGTGTGCATTTCGGTATTATTTTGATAGTATCGTAAAATCAAGCTGTGGTGAGAGCGGTCTGATCTTGTTGTAACCCTGCCCCCCGATTCTAGGTTGCCCAACATAAGAGACTTCTTGAGTTTCTTTTTCTGTATTTCTAGCAATCTCAAGAAGAGGAACTCGTCGCTTGCTTACCTGGCCCAACTGGTCCCGGCACGTCTGCCCTGAACAGCCTGGTTGTCTCTTGCGCGTCAGCAGTCGGTGTGAGAGTAGCGGCCACCTATGAAGCCTTGTCTCTGAAGAAGGTAATTAACTTCTACGGCACGACCCCTGGTGATGCAGCATCTCCATCCAGCGGCGGTTCTCCAGGCCCAGACGGGCCGAAAGAGAGCCGAGAGGAGCAGGTCAAGCTGGAGTCGATGCAGGGTAAGAAGAGCTCCAGCCTGGTGGACATTCGAGAAGAGGAGTCCGAAGGAGCCTGCCGAAGGCTTTCCTTACCTGGCTTGCTGTCCCAAGGTAAGGTGTTCGGAGATGGCTCTTTGAACAATTGTGTGTTTGCTGGTGGTGGAAAGTGCCGTCAAATCACAGTCGACTTTCGGCGACCCCACTGAGTTTTTTTTTTACAAGAGATGGACAGAGGTGATTTGCCATTGCTTGCCTCTGCATGATGACCTTGGACTCGGGGCTGGCTCTTCCACTAGGCCAACTAGTGCGACGGCCTAGGGCGCAGAACTCCGAGGGGCACAGCAAGGCCCCTGCAGCCGCCCGCCCGCCCCCAGCATGGCTTTCTGGGCACCCGCTTTGTTGCCTCCACCTCCTCTTCCAGCACGCTCACTGCAAGGCACACACAAGAGACACCCCAGCCGGCCTCCTCCCCCTCCCACGCAGGAGAAAGGGCACTTCTTGCTTTCTAAGATCTATCGTTCTGCAGCCGGTGCATTATACTTGGGCAGTATATTGTGTCCTGCGCTGCTTCTCCGCACCGACTTCCGTGGTCTGTCAGGGCAGACATTAAAGGCACAGGGTGCTCCGGTGAGTCCCTTCCTCCAGGGGCTAAAAACTCTCATTTTTGGTGGTGGTGGGGGACTACAGAATTTGCACTAGGGATAGTGTGCAAAGGGCGGCGGGGGGGGGGGAGTGGCATGTGATCCGTTTCCTTGGCTCCATCTAGAGCTCTTTGCGGACAGTATCATTTAAAAAAAAAAGGACCAAGCAAAATAATACATCGTGCAGGCTCTCATGTTCTCTAGAACGCTAGATGTTTAAAACACACACACTTTGTCTGCAGCCTGTGTAGATTATATAGATCTGCGGTGAGAGGGGAGGCGCCACAAGCTAGCCTCGCCTAGTGCGCAAAATAACCTCGGGCCGGCCCTGCTTGGACTTCCTTGGTGGCGGATTGGGTTTGATTCCCCACGCCTACACATGCAGCTGCTGGGTGACCTTAGTCAGTCACAAGTTCTCTCAGAGCTGTTCTCTCAAGGGCAGTTCTCAAGGGAGCTCTCTCAGCCTCACCCACCTCACAGGGTGTCTGTTGTGGGGAGGGGAAGGGAAAGGAGTTTGTAAGCCGCTCTGAGACTCCAAGTGAAGGGCGGGGTATAAATCCAATCTCCTCTTCTTCTGCTTCTCCTCCTCCTCCTTTAATTCCTAACAGTGAAATCTTGCCTATAGGGTTGCCAGCTCTGGGTTGGGAAATACCTGGAGATTTGGGGGGTGGAGCCTAAGGAGGGTGGGGTTTGGGGAGAAATTTCAATGGGGTATAATGCCATAGAGTCCACCTTCCAAAGCAACCATTTTCTCCAGCAGAACTGATCTCTGTTGCCTGGAGATCAGTTGTAATCCTAGATCTCCAGGCACTACATGGAGATTGGCAAGAAGAAGCGGAGGAGATTGGATTCATACCCTGTCCTCCACTCAGAACCTCAGAGTGGCTCACAATCTCCTTTCCCTTCCTCTCCTCGCAGCCGACACCCTCTGAGGTAGGTGGGGCTGAGAGAGAACTGTGTCTGTCCCAGGGTCACCCAGCTGCCTGCATGTGGAGGAGTGGGGAATCAAACTCGGTTCTCCCAGTTTAGAGTCTGCCGCTCTTAACCACTGCACCAAACCCTACTTGCCTGTGACTTTTTAAAAACCGTATTGGCAGTGTGTGATTGACAGTGTGGCTCTGATAATGCTGAGCCCTTTTGTAGCTTAAAAAGAGAAGACTTATTTGCCATCTGATTCATCTCCTTTGGAGGAGGGGCTGGATGTAGGCATTTAACTGTTAGATAAAGGCCACACCATCTAAAGTAGGCAACACGACTCCCCTCGAAACTTTAGTCTTTCTGACCAGCATCATCCCCACCTTGTCACTTGGCTAGTTACGTATGTTTTCCTTTCCAGAGCACTGATAGCTAATGTGAAACACGATTGTCCCTTCCCCTACAGATTCCATGAAAGAAGGCTTCTGTTTTCAGGCTGTCTGGATTTAGATTGTTGCCCAGTTGCATAGTATCCCGTATACACATGAAGTTCAGGGAACATGATGGAGCACTGTTTTCCTCGATCTGATCCTGGCTTTCCCAAAGGACCGACTAGCAGGTGCCATGAAAAATAGCCCTTGATGTGCTCTAATTTATGGGTTTGAGTAGTTCTGGGGACTTTTAAAAATGCTTTTGTATTCAGATCTCAGAAATTAAGCAGGGTCGGCCTTAGTTAGTGTTTGGCCAGGAGACTACCAAAGAATTCAAGGGTTGCTATGCAGAGGAAGGCAATGGCAAACCATCTCTACTCATCCAAGAACATAAGAGAAGCCATGTTGGATCAGGCCAGTTTGAAAGTTTGCTCTTCCTTTCTAACTTAGATAAACCAAAATATGGTTGTGAATTGCTAAAACAATTGCTTTGTGATGGACCCAGCCACAAATGTTCTGAGACGCCCGGACGGCTGTGTGAATCGTTTGTATTTGGCCACGGAGTCTGATATTGTTGCCTGACATATCCTGCTGTATCCAGTCATTGGTGCCTCCGTTCAGCTAATTTTTTATCTGCTGTTGTCCGCTGCAATGTTTCGGGTCACCTTAGTGCTGTATTAGAGGCACATACTTCTGTGAACCCACCAAATCTTTATAAAGGCTGCGGCAGCTGATGGACCTCAGTTGCATCAGACACAATCCTGAAGCCTGAGTCCCTGAGTAAGCTGCCTGT